ATTTATAAAGCGCCTCCTTACACATGAGTGTTTCTAGGCGCATTCACAGGAAAACAGTTCAAAAACATTTTTGAAATACATATGTTTTTAAGTTATTCTTAAAGCTCTGGATGGAAGATGACTCGCGAAGAGTATTTTGAAGATCATTCCACATTTTAGCTGCTCTGACGGAGAAAGCATAGTCACCAGAACGTTTATTATATTTAAGAATCTTCAATATGCTACGATCACTTGAAGAATCAAACAGTTCTTTTAAATAACTGGGTGCAATGATTCACAAGAGCTTTAAATTGAACCTTCGCTGGAACTAGAAGCCAATCGAGCTTCTGTAACTTAGCTGATCTATGATCAAATGTTCGTGTTCTATTTATAGTACGGGAGCCCAGTGAGATTTAATCAAAATACTGAGGCCAAAAGGTTTGAGGTCTATAACACATATTTTACGCCTAGATCACTTTGGAAAGGCGAGTCTTAAGTTTTGTAACCCGTGCATATACCTGGGAGCGCTCCTGGGAGTTAAAATGCAATGTCCATCCACAATTTTCTTGCAGACGTTTCATGCTTAACACTAAAAAACAGAATGTATGACTCAAGAGCATGCATGTATATTTGGTTTCCTGACTTTGTTAGCTATCTTTTAGACTTTGTTAGAGTTATGGATTCTAAATGTTAATAACAGTCACTAATTAATGACCTTTGACCCATGTCACCTTTGAACTAGTCTTTAAAAAGGTTTGTTCACCTTTTGTCGCTCTTAAGTGATATTTTTGGTTTCATGACTTGGATAGATAGCTTTTAGGTTTTGTTTCAGTTTAATTACGGTCATTAATAGTGCTAATTAATTAAGCTCTTAAGTAGCATTAGCTCAATATGATATGCTCTTAAGTCATGTATGCTGTTTCTCAGTATTAAGCATGAAACGTTTGCAAGAAAATTGTGGATGGACATTGAATTTTAACTCCCATTAAATTTGAGGGGCTTAGGGGGAGCGCTCCCAGATATATGCATAGGTTACAAACCTTAAGACTTGCCTTTTAATATTTTGATTAAATCTCACTGGGCTCCTGGGTTATTATGAGACGTGCAGCAGTGTTTTGTGCTATTTGTAGTCTTTTTCCCTTGTACCGGTAGTGGTGGGAGTCGAACGTGGTTCGCATATTGGTTAATTAGCTAGTTAGTGTTGTACTTTCTATTAGGATCATAAAGGGTCAACACTATCCACATTTATTTTTGAACAGTGTTGAACAATGATGAATGTCGTGTCGAGTTTGGTTGCTATGGAGAATCTGGTACAGAACATACCTTGACCTGTGATGATGGTCAAGTTATAACAATAGATGAACGAGACGAGATACGTAAAATACATTATGGTACCAAGAACCAATCCTGTCCCTTTAAGCTAAATACCAACCCCTGTACTACAATATGTTCTAGAAACAATGTAACAACTCTAAACGATCGTTTATATAGACTTAAAGTAGATGATGAAGAATATCGTTTGGAGGTTTACAGAAACTGTTCTAATAAACCAAGATGTAGTCTCAGTCCACCAGTTAACATCTCTAACATAATATATGATTATATTTATTATCCTTATACTTGTATATCAGGTAAGTAAGTTCAATCACTTATCCCAATCTTTGGAATTATTTCAATATTTCATAATTAATATTTAGCAGAGAGACCGGAACTAAATGGACACGTTAACTACACAAGCATCACACGAATCTATCCAGAGTTTTAAGATGTCGCCATAATGGGAGAATGGAATGACGTTTTAGATCTATATTTAATGGTACGGATGTAATGGTGGGTGTGGCGACTTATTGTCGAGATGTGTTTGTTTATTCTTCTTTGAATTCCATCTGCAGATGATCTGAACGTGTATTATGTTCATTATTGGAAAGACTAGACTTTTAAGTAGAGTGATGTCCCTTTGATAAGAGTTTGTATTTAACGGTTGTATTTATCTCGAGGTTAATTATGGACCTATGTACACTATATACAGGGTTAATTCTATTTGTTAAGGTCAGCTCACTTTTCGTCGAGCTCGCTGAGATGTAAATAAGGTCCGGGCACGTGATTGTTTAGGGTTGGTCTTATCAACTAGATCTAACCCTATATACAGGTATATCGCTGGTAGATGTGTACCATAGATCAGTAAGCATGTTATACAGTATGCAAGTCAAGGAGTCTTTCAAATTGACAAGCGTACGATTGTCTTTAACATTACTGTTCTGTCTCTCGAAAAAGTAATGAAACTTATTGTTGTATTTTTCAGCTTCGGCAATACATAGTCTGGTGAATATAACCGAGACATCTATAAAACAGGGCGAATATTTATATTTTAATGGTACAACATCATTTACTAATCAATGTTGTAATATAACCAGCAAGAATCAACAGCATATAGAGATAGAGATTGTATATGTTCATCTAAGTGAGGAAGCTAACACAAGGATCAAGATATCGACAAATAATAAATCTTTGGTCAACTTTACCACTGCAGTACCGGAAGATGGTGGGAGTAGATATATTAAATCTAAAAACCCGATTCGCATAGTTATTTATGATTTATTGGCTGATTATTATGATATGATCTGGATGAAATTACTATCAGGTATGCTTCATTTTACTGAACTTCTTTTCTATGTTCCTAATTCTCATCTTATTAGTTTCGTTTTGACTAAGGAATATAATTATTGCTTTACATAATTTATAGATAAATGTGATCCTTCGTTAACGGTAATTTCCAAATTTACAAAATTAATTGTTATGGTTGCAATTTGTATTGATGTGTGAGATGTCTCTTTAAAATCAAAATCTTTAATAACCAAATACAATTAGAATATTTGTATAAACATATAGTGAAGAACGATGTGTTAAAGGACAATATTGGTGTCAGTCATTATTACATGTGTGATAGAACTGGATACATTCCAAATATAATTTTAACACAGAGATCATTGCTACGGGAGATGTGTAACAAGCGTGTGAAGAAACGGGAAGTGACGCCAAACATGACAAACGCGAGTTGTCCTTCTATATAACAGACTGAAGTAACGAGCGGTAACAGACAAACGATCGAATTTCATTTCACTGATAATTCCGTTGAAGTTGAAAAGGTATTATATGGGACGGTGAGAGGGTATCTCACAATTCAAAAATAGAATTGGCTGTCACTAGATAAGGGACACGAGAAAAATAGAAAAATCCCGTGCATTCCCCCGTTTTTATTCATTCTCTGTTCTTAATAAAACATGGAAATGCACGGACTTTTTCTAATTTGTTCGTTATCTTTTATCTACTGACAGCCAATTCTTTTTTTGAATGTCAGATATCCTCCCATCGTCTCATATGACAACTTTTCATCTTCAACTGAATTATCAGTGAAATGAAATTCGATCGTTTGTCTGTTACCGCTCGTTACTTCAGTCAGTTATATAGAAAGACAACTCGTGTTTGTCATGTTTGACGTCACTTCCCGTTTCTTCACGTGCTTGTTACACATCTCCCGTAGGAATGATCTCTGTGTTAAAATTATATTTAGGATGTATTTAACGAGCGCTATCACATATTTTATAATGACTGACACCAATATTGTCCTTTAACGTGCCTCTTGATAAATAAATTACCAATCAAAAGTTTAAGACCACAATCATTCGGGTTAACCAGATAAGATTAAGATAGTAAGTTGATACTTTAATAACGGGGGTGGATGGCTGAATGGTAGCGTGTGCTCGCTGTATAATAAAGTCTGTCATTGAGTCAACTAGCGTGGTTTCGATTCCCCGGTTGTACCTGACAAGGAGTATGGTTGCCTGTCCAACCTCGTGGGTTTTCTCCGGCTCCTACGGTTTCCTCCCACTGCTAAAGCGAAATATTGAAATAAAATTAAACCATATGTTAGTCCCGAAATGACCTAGTTTGTGTCGAGTGGACGTTAAACCCCATTTTTCTCTCTCTCTCTCTCTGATACTTTAATACTGCCTATTCTATTACAGATTCAAACATATCTTGTGATTGCTGCTCTAGTGCTAAAGGTAAGTTGCTTTACTCAGTGGTAATGTACGCCATAGGTACGCGATGAGGTGTAATGTCACCTGCATACCGTCGTAGCGTTTATCCAGGTACCATGTTTCTGCCTGATTCAAATAAATCAATGAACGCATGTATGTTAGTATTTCCTGGCCAGCGATGAATGGTTGACGGTAACCACCCCAAAACGCATCTACCTCGCTCTTTAATAGACCACACCGAATGGTGACTTAACGGTTTGTTTATTTATTAAAATATAATTGGTAATACATTGGATACTCGCAAGTGTCTCGTCGTCATTTTATTTAGCCCATATTAATTTATGGTTGTGGGCGTAACTACCCGAAAACGCGCATATCACCATCTCTTCCGTAGGGCATACCCAAAGTGCATAACTCTCTATTTAAAATTTATGGTATTTTTTTTATCTTATATGGTACCATGATATTTCTTTATATCGCTGAATTGTGGAGACATTAAGGTTTAGAAGTTCAATTTAAAAATGTAGAGATACAATAGCTAGTGTGTGTCATCTTACTGAAATAATATGTATGTAAATTGTAATTGGGCAAATATTTTAACGAGAACAGATATATTCGAATTTCATATTTATTTAAGTGGAAGACTACCTTTACATGAACACGTGGTGGATGTCTCACTCTGTGAATTATGATTTTATATTTTTTAACTTGCAGTTGCCAAAAATGGTCATTGTCGGTCCCAGTCTGGATTCTATGTGGAACAGCAGACATCTTGTACCAAGCACACATTGACATGTGATACAGACCAAGTTATAGCAATAACCGACAGAGGTGGGAGACGTAGACTCCATTATGGTACCAATATCAGGCAATCTTGTCCGAAACATGACAATAATTCTTGTATTAGAATGACATGTTGTGAACAGCATCAAGAAGCGAATGTTCCTCAAGAAGATTGTATGTATATATGGGATGAAATTAATCCAGAATATCGTAAAGAGGTTTATAAAAACTGTTCTAATCAACGCACCTGTAACCTCACCTCACCATACACACCTGGTGATATATACGATTTCATCTACTATCCTTATATATGTATACCAGGTAAATCAAAATATATCTTCGATTGCGGGAATAATTTTCAATTGGTAACTATCGGGGATTCTATGTTGAATATTTTTCTAATAGTTTATATACACAAATACAGGAGCACGTCTGGTGATACAAATGCATCATGACATGTTCTATCAAGAAACGTTAAAATACTATACCCATTGGGCCGTTATTAAAATAATGGCCTTTTTTCTGTTCCCTTGAATCTGAAGTTATAAGGGGAGCCGTGGTGGCTCAGTAAAAAAGACACCAGCTCGCTATCCCTGGGGTGGTTCCTCATTGTCAGTGGTGCAGACCGGAGGGCGTAACAAAAACAGCCATTTAATCGTGCGGATGTGACGAAAAACCTAGGCCATGTCTTTGGATTGGCGTTCACGTAAAATAACTTTTGACAGTTGAGATTCGATATAAGAGTAGGCGGTGGCCTCACTATCCGGGCAAAATGTCCATCATAGCCCAATGCATTGTATTATTATACTCGTCTTCATTAACTCAGTCGGTGCAGTAAAGTAGGGCGTTAAACCCAATTGCATTTCATTTTCTTAAACATACATTATGCAAGAGCTAAATCTGCATATTGCAGGTCTTTCTTTAGGCCTGAAATGTTATCTAAATTATTAATTAGACATTAATTAACTTATCCAGACCATACGCAACTCTCGATGGCATCGCTTTTCTTCGATATTAAATAGATTAGAACAGTTCAGCCATATTTAGATTTATGCTAAAAATGGAGGAGCGAGACTTAGCTTTGAACAACCAGTACATGGCTGAAATTATTGCACACGTCTTGTCAAACCTTCGCTCGCAATAGATAATGTAAAATGAGTATTTTGAATATTTCATTCAAATTACACATTTTACATTATCTATTTTCGAACCATTATAGCAAGAATGGCTAGCTCTTTATCTAATCTCCCATAATATATCTTTAGGTTATTAAGATTAAAGTAATAACCGACATATTTGCCCATATTAATTTGGTAATTGTATTGTTACAGCTACTCACATCATATATAATATTCTAGAAGTAAACTGTGCTACATTGCATTATGAAGTCAAGCTGTATTTCTCCAGTCAACAACCTCCCACAGCTAACACTTTCTGTAGCATTGCAAATTCAACCGATGTTCTAATAGACGGTGTTTTTATGAATTTGGGGACAGAATCGTGCAGACATGTTCAAGGAATTCCAAGGAATCAAAGTTTATTCAACTGTTCTGTTGATCCAAAACTATCCAGCGAACAAACAACTGTTCCAAATAAAAACGTCGCAAACGAAAAGGATGCTGTTTTGTTGATTAAGATTGATCAAGGTAATACAAATCAGAGCCATTCATTTTTTCAATTTTATTAAAAAGTCTAAACTGAACACGTATTTCCGTTATTTGCTCTCAGATAAACCGTTATTCAATTATGGCTCGTTGGCTCGCTAACCTGAGGTCCAATTTTCGATCGTGGTGTTATAGTCGAAAGAGACTTTTTCAGTGTGGGTCCCCCTTGTCTGCAGGACAGCGGGCCTGGTAAGGGATAAGGTATAGTTGTTTGGATTGGTCGAAACACCGAGGTCACATGTACCCACTGACATGCACGTAAAAGAACTCTTGCCATTTGGAATCAAATTTAAGACTATATAGTGCAGCTCTCCGGGCAATCTTTCCTCCATAGCTAGCTGTATGCTTTATGCTCGTCTTCATTAGCCCAGTCGAAGCAGAACAGTAGGACTTTAAATCCCATTCCATTTCGTTATTCACTTGTATCATGTCTATATTTATTTTTTATAGGCCCGGTCATTGCTTGTACTAAATATTCGCCACCAATCTCAGGTAACATGAAATACCGTATAACTTTACATCAGTACTGACCTTAGCTCCATTGTTACTACGGTGTGTACTGAAATTATTTCCCATCGATACTGTAGTGTGCGCTGTCCCTAGCTCTATTTTTACTATGCCAGGCACCATCCCTAGCTCCATCGTTACCTTGTGTGCACTGTCCTTATCTCCATCGTTACTGTGGCGTGCACACTCCTTAGCTTCATCGTTGTTATAGTGCACACTGTACCTGACTCCATGGTTACTATAATGTGCACTGTACAGGGCTCCGATGTACAGAGCTACGTTGTTCAAAGCTCCATCGTTACTATAGCGTACCCACCTCTTAGCTCCGTCGTTATTATAGTGTGCACTGTACCAAGCTCCATCGTTACTATATAGCGTACCCACTCCTTAGCTTCATCGTTATTATGGCGTGCGCTGTACCTAGTTCCACTGTACCTAGTTCCATCGTTACTATAGCATATCCCCCATTGTTATTATATTGTGCACTGTACCTAGCTCCATCGTTAACATGGCCTTCAATGTCCTGATGATAGCCCCATCGTTACACATGTGAGATAGGGACAGTGGATGTTGTTTTGGTTTAATTTCTGTTGCTACCCGGTTACAAAATGGCGTCCGCTTTAAGCACCACCTGATCGTCTGTACGTGGTTTAGGCACACACATTTTTCGTGCTGTTTGTCTTTAAATAGATTGCATAAAGACGGGTTTGCCGTTAATTTGGAGTAACATAAAACTGATTCGCGACCAGTAAGTAGGGACACTGAGTAATCAATTTCCAATTGGTCGATTTCTGCTTTCTAACGTTCCAACCCACCTTACATAAGATTTATAAACATTATATATTATCTCATTGTTAGTTGCAGCTACAAGTGTAACTTCCTCTGATCAGTTGGGTTTAATAATTGGTTGTGTTGTTGGTGTTGTGGTAATTCTAGTGGTAGTGGTGATTATTTATTGTATAATAAGGTATGATTGAATTTACGTACCGTACGTAAAATACATTGTGCTACAGATAACCGTATTGTACGTCAAGAGGACGTGTTCTGGTCATTATTGTAGATAGATAGATTTATTTAGCAGGCACATATACAAAATATGATACAATTGTTTAGGTTTTTTCAGAACCAATTTGGAGAACCTTATAAAACTTGTACCCTAGGTTGCAGCCCATCCCCCACCCCACCACCACGTGTCATCTCACCATGTTGCTCATTGGTCCCGCCTCCCACACACACAAACTTTTATCTCAATAAGAAAAATCCGGGATTAATCCAACTGGAACCCATCCGGGAGATTATCTATCGTTGGTTTCGCAAATAAATGAATACATTGTAATGTGGATTAAGCAGTGTCCCGAAAAATACAAATGACGCTCCCCGGAATAAAGCAACGATGGTTTTAACAGTATTAATGTAGCTTGAAATACCTGTATCAGATTAGTGATCACATGAATTAACAGATAATAACCATATCTACATGTCTCTAATATCTATGGGGGGGGGGGCTAGTGGTCTAGAGTGCCGCGCTTCGACCTCTAGTTTGCCGGTCACCTCTGGCTTGCGGCTGTGGTTTCCATCCCTGGTGTGAGCGTATGTGGCTTGGAGATAGAGGCGCCTTCTCAACCTCGTGGGTTTATTTAGGGTACACCGTTTTCCTCCCACAGGAAAGACCCCTTCGCGTGCACTAAGATAATAAAAAAAAAAAAATGACTTGTCTGTGATATCACCTTCGGTGGAAGTGGACGGTAAACACTAAGAAGAACAACAGCACCATGAGCATCCCAGCAGCTATAATTATGTGTTTAGAAATGTCTGTAAAATCTGATGATCGTGAAATTAACTTGATTTTATTTTTCAGGAAGAGGAAAAATAAACTGAAATCAACAGATAATAACCAACAGATATATTTTACCCAAGATAAAAACCAGGAAGAACCTGAATATGATACTATACAGGATGGTGATAAAGGTAAACACGAATCAGCTTATCAGGATATCGAGGATACTTTCTTACAGAACTCTATAACTAACAGAGAACCAAATTACCAGAACTCTACAACTAACAGAGAACCAAATTACCATAACTCTACAACTAACAGAGAACCAAATTACCAGGTCATTGAAGACGACTTTCTTAACAAGGCCAAACCAACATCCGGTTATAGTGAACCCTGGGACACCTGCATTAAGCTAAAACCAATCTTACACTCTGGAAAACAACCACCTGATCCGAAATTTAAATATAGTATGGACAAACCGAAGACAGGCAGAATACAGGGAGAAAATGCATCACCGCACTACGATCACGTCAGAGCCGAGACAACTGTAGATAAACAAACTGAATTAACTCCGTCAGTAACAGATAAAACGTATTATGATCATATTAAAGACGTAGACGAAATCCTGGATTCTGATCCATACAGCGACCCTACCTATAACCATCTCGGTCAAAATAATGTTGCTCCAATTGGTACAAACCACGCACCGCACCAAGTCATAAAGGTTGACCTCAATTCAACATCTAAGAATAAAGATCAGAAAGATAAGGATGATCCGTATAATGACCCGACTTATAACCACCTTGGTCAGAATAACGTTGCTCCAATTGGTACAAACCACACACCGCACCAAGTCATAAAGGTGGACCTCAATTCAACATCTAAGAATAAAGATCAGATAGATAAGGATGATCCATATAATGACCCGACCTATAATCATCTTGGTCAGAATAACGTTGCTCCAATGGTTACAAACAACGCACCACACCAAGCCATAAAGGTGGACCTGAATTCAACATCTAAGAATAAAGACCCTATTGATAAGGATGATCCGTATAATGACCCAGCCTATAACCATCTTGGTCAAAATAACGTTGTGCCAATTGGTACACTCAACGCGCCACAGGTCATCACAGTGGACCCCAATTTAGCATCTATGAATAAAGATCAGATAGATAAGGATGATCCGTATAATGACCCGACCTATAACCAACTTGGTCAGAATAACGTTGCTCAAATTGATACAAACCACGCACCGCACCAAGTCATAAAGGCGGACCCGAATTCAACATCTAAGAATAAAGATCAGATAGATGAGAATGATCCGTATAATGACTCAACCTATAACCACCTTAACGAAGATAAAACCATCTCTCAGAGAAACCTGAAACTTCCACAAGAGGAGGTAACTCACTTGTCAGTCATCGGTCTTAAATCTGATACTGATAACTACAACCACATAGACGTCAAGAACGATAACTCTGTTTTAGATAAAGAACCCACACCAACAGATGTTACCAATAACCACACGATGTCCAGTGGTGGGAAACCTATGTCGTCCGATAATTATAATCATCTAGACATCAAGGGAGACAACCATCATACAACAAAACAAGTAAAGAATCCAGCTGGGAAACAAGATAATTACGACCACATAGGTATCAAGAAAGACAACTCTGTTTCTGTTAAGGAACCTAGACCAGAAGGTAATCACACATCTTCCAGTGACTTGTCTCCAGATCATTACAACCATATAGACATCAAGGGAGACAACCATCATATAACAAAACAAGTAAACAATCGGGCTGGGAAACAAGATAACTACGATCGTATAGGTATCAAGAAAGACAACTCTGTTTCAGATAAGGATTCAGATGTCACACTAGAAGATGACACCTATAATCACATAACTTCCAAACCCTCGTCTTCAGATAATTACTATCATATAGACCTCAAGGGGGATAACCCTAATACCACTAAGGAAGCAGAGAATCCAGCCGGAAGCAAGGTGGATAGAGATAATATTACAAAACCTAAAGAGCAGTCATGCTCTAAGCAGGGTGCTACTACTAACAATTACGATCACATTGAATTATAGATTTAATTAACTGAATCAATGATATATATGCTACCCGAATCTCGAAGTTTCCAAATTAACACATTTAATAATCTTTGATATGTATAATCCAGATTAAACTATAGATTTAGAAAATTAATCAGACATTTTAGCTAAAATGTTGAATTTATATAGGGAATAGTAAATATATTTTTATATCAGAAAACATAAAAAATCAGTCACCAAGGACAGTTTTTATTTCAGAGTGTCTGTAGTTAGTTATTTTGCCACGTTATTAACCTGGGACTAGATCTGGCTAATTATAAAATGCATGTATAATATTTTTGTGTCCCTATAAAGGAACGTAATTTTGTAATTTTGTGTAGATTTTGTATTTTTCATTTCCTTTTATTTTTGTTGTTTTGATATTTTATGTATATATATTTTAGATTATATTTGTTTACTGTGTATTAATGTTATATGTTATAACAGATATGTTATAAATAACAGTTTTGCTACTGTGTATATTTTATAATAGATATGTTATAATATATATGTTATAATAGATATATTATAAATAATATTATATGATATAAATAACACTGTGTATTAATGATATATGTTATAATAGATATGTTATAAATAACAGTTTTGTTACTGTGTATTAATGATATATGTTATAAATTATACTGAGTATTAATAGTATATGTTATAATATATATGTTATAAATAATTGGTTCAGTGAATAAGACGCTGGCTCGTTAGAATAATAATAGGTAGGGGAGAGGGGGTCAATGACTAAGGCTGTGGCTCCCTAACCTGGAGGTCCTTGTATTGATTACTGCATTGGATTTAAAAAAAAAAGAATCTTTTCTTGAAAAAGCAGATAAAGTCTGAGTCCGTGGTGGGTGTGAGTGTTGATATAACAATTAGTGACTGATCTTAACGTCCACTTCCACGGATGATGATATCGCACTCTTTCCCCATATCCTTGTAAATTAGAGAAGAAAACGTATTGTACATGACAAGTACCTCTCAGCTTATTTTCTTTATGACACGATCGCATCTCGAGTTTAATGACAAGTGGCTTCAAGCTGTGACGGGTGTCGTTTATGAGAGGGCAATGCACCTGTCCATTACCTGACATGTGCTATGACGTCGTTATCCGATGTGCTGTGCATTATTGGCACTGTTTAGCCGATCTTCAATAGTTAGGTAGCACTTTAAACCCCATTTATACAGTTATTGGATAACTCAGAGGAGTGGCATGCAATCTGGTTAAAACACAAATCCTATTTCGTTTCGTTTTTTATAGTTCAAAATTTCGTTTTACTTGTCTTTACTACACTATGATATGGAATAGTTGTTATATGACAGGCCTTCTAGATAATATGAGGAATTAGCCAATGAAACGGTCTGTTACGGCGACGTCTTGGTGTGCCATGCACGGAACTGTGGGTAAACCAATAGAAACGGCAACGCTGATTGATTAATCAATGTCTGACGTCATAGGGTTAAAGGCCGCTCGTACGACCCCTGGCACGACCTTCGAGTACAACTTGCCAGTTCTTCATGGAGTGTAGGCCATCGACAGTATAAAGAAACGACACGAAATATAGATCTGTATTATAATCAGATTTGGTGGCATGGGGTTTTTCACCGTAAGGAAGTAAAAAGGTAACCTGTATTCATGCTTTACATCGAATGCAGACTTTAGATTCAACAATACAAACACATAACATGTTGTGTACAAATCAGATTTATTTATATAGTTTCCAATGTCATTACCAAAACAATTTGTCCGTCGTTGTGATTTTTATATGAAATAGCTTCTTTCTTTTATCAATTTTAGCCTATAGATCTATGTCACTGAGGCCGGGTAGATTATGGATGCCAATATTGTACTGTTCCTTCTATTGAAGATGGAAACTCTCTTTCCAAAATAATATTGAAGATAAATTATGTAACATTTAGATTCAGAGCTCACCGTGCTTGCTATAATAGTTCAGAAATTGACAAAAATAGATATATTGAAAATTACTTGATCCTGAGTGAAGATATGAGTGCTTGAAGTTTTCACATTATAGCCCCCATTGTCAAGCAACATTGTCTCGATTATTCCGTTTTACATTAAATTATTAAATAGTGATTGTGCTTTAATCGATACAAAATAACGGTCACTCGATGATCTAGAGAGTTGTTTAATTCCTTAATAATTTATATAACCTTTGAATACACAAATAAGCATATTTCGCTCGTACGTAAAGTTTACAACCAAGTAGATATATCAATATACTATCTCAAAATCAAGGGAGATAATTCACCACACCGGCAACCGAAGATAGATAATTATACATGATAAATAATAAGACGTGAAATAAATGTTTTGTACAATACATATACGATTATATAAACCTCCAACGAATAAATGTACGTGTACTATATACCAACCTGGGGCCTGATTCAAGAAAACCTTTTTTTTAAAGAATGCAGGCTTTTCATTGGCTAAGAGTTGAAATGTGTGCTACGATTTTAAAACTGAACCAATGAAAAGGCTTCATCTATTTTTGTGAATATTATTCGTGGATTCTGCTAGGTTCACGACTTTCTAGGGCAAATGTTTTCTTTCTCATTGACGTTATACATTAGACAAACTCTTTCAAAACATATTACTAAAAATATTTATCAAAGATCCTTAAAAATAATACAGTGGTGATACGATAAAAATAATAATAAATATCAGTACCGTTATAAAATAAAATAATACACAATGTACCCAAAATACCCGGAATACAATAATACGTGCATACAACTAAACAGTGGAATTAATGCAACTGAATGCACTTTTACAAAAATACCATTTTAATTCCATTTATTTTTTAAATGTTGTTTATATGACATAAGATTAAATACCGTATTAATTCCATTTATTTTTAAATTTTGTTTATATGGCATAAGATTAAATGGCCGGAAAGTTCACAACAAATCTTAGAAGTAAAAAATGTTTGGATAGACTGATGAAAATAAATTGCTATTTGTTTACCCCAAGCACTTTACGATAATTGTCAAACTTCATTTGGTCATAATTCAATTTTAAACTGGCCATTTTAAAATTTAACATCAATCAAATTAAAAAAAAATAATCTGACAAATTTAAATAATTTTCAGATCAATAACGTGTATATTTCCGTTATTATATTCTCCTCTTCACCTTTTCAAGTATTACAGTATTTACAAATCAACCTCCTGGTCTATTTTAGTTGTGTACCAGACATCAGCTTTTGTATTTTCAATTTGAAAACCTCCACTTAAGCTGCGATTAGAATTTAGGCTACAACAAAAAAAAAACATAATATATATTGTAGCTAAGTGGGTAAGACGCTGGCTCACTAGCCTCGAGGTCGGGTGTTCGATTCCTGCATTGGCCGGGAAAGTTCATCCAGATTTTCTTTCGTGGTTCCACCTGGTCAGTGATGCAGGACGGAGGGCCTGACAAGGACAGTTGCCTAGTCCTTCGGATGGAACGAACAATTGAGGTCCCGTGTGCACATTGACATGCACGTAAAAGACCTCTTGACAGTTGGAATTCGATATAAGAATAGGCCGTAGTGCCGCAAAATTTCCCTCATAGCACACTGTATGGCGTATGCCCGTCTTCATTAGCCTAGGACATTAAACCTTATTTCATTTTATTTCAGGAAACAGACATCAATCTAGCAGTGGTACTATACAAAACCCGTCTCTCTGAGGTATGTATACCACTGGACGAATGACATATAGCAAAAGAATTTACGTACCATGATAATCGCCACATCAATAGCTTTCACTTTTCTTTGATCCGTGAGTTGCGGGTTGATGGCGGTGCAGTAATAATTACCGGTCTGGTCTGCCCTGGCCATCAGCCAGATGAGTTCACCATTCCGAGTTGGGAGAGGATCGCTGATGGGGCTTGTCCTGTACCAGTTGATGAGACAAGTTGGATAGCACTCTGCCCAACAGTTGATAGAAATGTTATTATTCGCCACGATAGTCAACTGATCTATGTCCCCGTCCATGGCCATCACGTCGCTAAACAGGGTAAAACGTACTTCAGTTGGACCGTCTGAAATCAAAGAATCGGAATCGTATTACAAGAATAAGAGAGAGAGAGAGAGAGAGAGAGAGAGAGAGAGAGAGAAGAGAGAGAGAGAGATCATTTCACCGCCAAAAGACCCCTACGCGCAAGCGAAGTATTGAAATAAATTTGACCCATATATTAGTCCCGAAATGACCTAGTTTGTGTCGTGAGAGAGAGAGAGAGAGAGGGAGAGAGAGAGAGAGAGGGGGGTGATGTCCCCTCGACCCAAACTAGGTCATTTCGGGACTAACTAATATGGTTCAATTTTATTTCAATAATTGGCGTGCGCGTACGGGTCTGTTGCAGTGGGAGGACACCGGAGGACCCGGAGGAAACCCACGATGTTGGACAGGAGACCCTTCTCCTTTTCTCCTTGTCACGTATAACCAGCGAATCGAAACCACGTCACTCTTTAACCTTTCGACCATCCAACCCCACAAAAAACAAACGCTCGAGAAGTTTATGATTTGAGGAGCCACGGTGGCTATGTGGGTAAGATGCTGACTTGCTAGCCTGGAGATAGATATTCATTTCATAATTTAAATTTTTCACAATACACGAGTTCTACGATCGAATATTTGAATACCCGGGTCGAACACTAGTACAATGTCTTCGGTGGGTGATTTGGTGGCAGGGGTGGTACTGATTTCAGGATTTATAGCCATACAGAAATATTCTCCACTCTGATTCCGTTGTATCGGTGACAGTACGAGTCTACTATTGTTAGACAACGCGTCACTGTAGACGTTTTCCTTATTAGTTTTGTGCCAGTGGATCATACAATCCGGTACACAATCAGTAACACAGTTTACAATCACCTCCTCCCCATCTCTAGCATCAATAACCATCTGGTCATTTACAATTTGTTGGTTATTGGTAGTGTTTAGCATCAGCTCGGTAGGTCCATCTAAATTACAACGATAAATACATCAAATTATATTAAATTAGACTTTTATATTAAAAAATTAGACTTTTATATTAAAAAATTAGACTTTTATATTAAAATAATTGGACTTTTATATTAAAATAATTAGACTTTTATACTAAAAAGTTAGACTTTTATACTTTTATATTAAAATAATTAGACTTTTATATTAAAATAGTTAGATTTTTATATTAAAAAATTAGACAATAAATAAAAACACACAAGACACAATTCTATAGAATACACAATCTGATTAAAATACAGATCTATATTTCGTTTCTTTTTTTTTATAAACTTTCGATGGCCTACACTACATGAACATGTGACCGGTTGTAGTGATAGGTCGCGACAGAGGTCATACGAGCGGTAATAACCTTATGACGTCAGACATTGATTAATCAATTAGCGTTAACGCTTCTAGAGGTTTACCCACAGTTCCGCGCAGGGCACTCCAAGAACTTGCCGTAACAGACCGTTTCATTGGCTAATTCCTCGCATCATTAGGAACCCGGGTTAAATAACAACTCATCCAGATCCTAGTGTAGTGAAGACAAGTAAAACGAAATTTTGAACTATAAAACAACGAAACGAAATAAGATCTGTGTTTCAATCAGATTGCTACTAACATATTTGAGTGACGTTTCAAAGATGTTTAAAGAAGGTTATCGAGCTATGTGCCCTGGAATTCGGAGAACGCTAGATCGGCGACAATCCTGCATATTTTAGCATCTATGGCGTCATATGTGGATTGTGGATTAGGGTTAGGATAAAACCGCTTCAGACTTTGAAATCTTTGTATGATAAAACATTCTTCAAAGGCGTCGTCATGGGCAACGCAGTTGGTAATCCGGGAACTTGAAAGTAGTTTCAATGGCGGACTTCGTCATAAAGCCGAGGGTAGGGTACTGGAATCTGCTGAGGTTTGCCGAGTGTAAAATCTCTAAACGTTATTTGGGGTATAATTTATGGACTTCTTCCGCATAACAATATTGTGAAATTGGAATCTTTTAACGGAAAACCAGTCAAAGAATTTTATACCTCAGTATTTAGATAAAATATGGGGAATGTATCAAAATTCGGCATCTGTCCCTTTCTAGGCCGACTGAATCAAAGTCGGGGATTATCTAGAGTTAATATTTTTTTCTTAAGTGAATGTTGGCTAATCAATTTTAGTACATATTTAGCATGGATTAAGCAGTGGGAAAACTGGCTATTTTGGGAATAAAGCAAATAACGCACTTTAACATTAATAAAGTATCGCAGGTTGAAATAACTTACACTTCCATCCCCAACCCTCAACCTCGCCCCTACCGTGACGTAATACGGGTGTGTTGAATATTGAAACAAAGGAACCATTAAGACTTACATTTACATATAACAGACGCATGGTTGGCATGGGTACAGTTATGTCTCCTCCAACCACTGTGTGTACACTCGCTGATTGATGCTTCACCGCCTTCACAAGCGACGTCACTCAACCAGATGGGACCTTGACCTTGTCCAAAAAACGCCCCCATTTTAGGTTCAGCGCCAATCCTTAAAATATAAAGAAAAACAATATTGATGTTAGTGGTGATGCTGAGAAAGGGTGGGTGAGAGAGAGATGGAGAGGGGGGGGGGCTTAATGTCCACAAACTAGATCATTTCAGGACTATTTCGGGATTACCATATGGGACAATGTCATTTGTTCCCTCGCACCGCTAAAAGACCCCTACACGCAAGCGAATTATTGAAATAAAATTGATCCAGATGTAAGTCCCGAAATGACCTAGTCTGTGTCGAGTGGGCGTTATGTTCCTGTGTGATGTATTGGTTGTTATAGATATAATAGCTTTTAATATGTATTCCTGCATTGTTACAATGAAGAAGTCAAATTATTAGGTCCTTTGATACTATGCTACAATACTAACCTGCTGAAACCACGTCCATTACACACCACTTCAGCATCTATGGTACTCCACATGTTATCACAGATTGTACCCCATTCATTGTTGAAAAAAACCTCTACACGACCTTCATGTGGTCCAGAACCACCTACTAGACGGTATTCAACAGCTAGAACAGTAAAATAAATTGGGGTTTAACATCCGTCCTATTTTGCTTCAACAAGGTCGATGAAAGGGGGAGGGGGACATGTCCAACTACACGTGATCGCATTCCAATTGCTACGGTTTCGTTTACATGCAAGCCAACACGGGATCTGGGTTTGTTGCTCTATCCAAACTACTAGATGCTATGATGCTGACCTTGCTGGGGTTTAAAATCCTATTTTGCATCAACAAGGCCAATGAAACGGGGGCATGTCCAACTATTCCAATTGCTAAGGATTCGTTTACATGCAAGCCAACATGGGATATGGGTTTGTTGCTCTATCCGAACTACTAGATGATGTTATGCTGTCCTTGCCAGGACAGCTATCCTTGCCACCAGTTCGGTTCGAGACCTGTATTTTTCCCCTCAGTCTGAAAGACTAGTTGTTGCTCTTACCAGGTACCCCGTCTTTGTCAGGGGTTGATTTACGTTCAAGCAAAGGTGTACAAGCGACCCGGTTTAGTTTTTTAATCCATCCGTGAGGGCCCTGCCTCGCCCCCACCCACGCCCTCGTCCTTGTCAGACTAGCTCCATACTCACCGTGCTTCAAATTACAACTTGAGTATCTTACTCAAAACTTAGATCATAAATAAAATAGATGAATGAAGCGTTTGGTCCCGTTGCATAATTCCCGTTGTTTTATGGCATCTGTAGAAATGGAGCATTGGCAAGTCCAGGAGGTAGTCCCCCCAAACAATTTTTGAATTTCGGCATACCTTATAGAGGGGAGGGGAGCTAGCACCCGACCCTCACCCGCCAACCGTACGCGAGCAATTTTTGAGCCTGGAATTTGGCCACACATTTTAAATATTACATTAATTATTCTGCAATACTTACGTTTACAAACAACGGCAGCATCCTCATGATGACCACAATTATGTACACCCCATTTACTGTGTTGACATTCGGCTATACTCGGTTCCATACCAGTACATACAATATCATCCAGCCAGATCCTACCAGTTCCGTTACCGAAAAACGCCTTAGTCGTAGTCCTTAAAAACAAGTTATAATGGTGTGGATACGGTGTGCTTTAAGTCATGGGGTGGGAGGGGGGTCACAGTGGTTAAGTGGGTAAGTTGCTGGATCACTATCCTGGAGGTCGGGTGTTCGATCCCTGCATTGACTGAGAAAGTTCATACTGATTTTCCGGTGTGGTTCTCCTCTTGTCAGTGATGCAGGACGGAGGGTCTGACAAGAACAACTGTCTAGTCGTTCGGATGGTACGAAAAACCGAGGTCCTCTGTACATATTTGCGTGCACGTAAAAGATCCCTTGGCAGTTAGAATGCGATAAAAATAGGCCATAGTGCCGCAGTCCGGGCACAATTTCCCTCATAACACACTGTATGGTGTATGCCCATCTCATTAGGCCAGTTCGGGGCAGAACAGTAGGACGTTAAATCCCATTTCATTTCATTTCATTTCGCTTAAAGTCATGAATTCCGTCATACCCAATATATTGAAACCTATACTATGATCCACACGGGATTGACGAATATTACAATACAAATTTAAATGGCGGTTAACATCCTACTGTTCTGTCCCGGCTGGGTTCATGAGAACCGTATTACAATACCCCAAGACTGTCACGAATTAACTAGTTACTAGAAGTACAGTAAAATGGTGAAATGAAATGAAATGGAGTTTAACGTCCTACTGTTCTGCTCCGAACTCGGCTAATGAAGACGGGCCTACGCCATACAGTTTGCTATGAGGGACATTTTCCCGGACAGCGGCACTACGGCCTACACTAATATCGAATTCCAACTGTCACGGGATCTTTTACACGGGACCTCGGTTTTTCGTCCCATCCGAACGATTAGACAGCTGCATCACTGACAAGGGAGAACCACGTAGGAAAATCTGGATGAACTTTATCGGCCAATGCAGGGATCGAACACCCGAGCTCCAGGCTAGCGAGCAAGCGTCTTACCTACTTTGCCACAGTAAAATGGTGTATACAGTGAAGGTAAGCTCGGATCTTAGTGAGACATAGTCTCGGTCACCCAGAACCTCCTATTCTTTAACGTACGGAGGGTCCGGGACCGTTGTCAATATTTGACGAAAAGTTCCATTGCTCAGGCGTAACCGGGAGTTTGTTTGTTTATGTTGTTAATTATCCAGTATCGTTGGTCAAGTCAAGTAAGAGTTGCGCCCCTTCCAGCAATATATCCCATAACTCTTGCATTTATATAAACAATCATGAATCGTGAATTTGGATTAATTTTTAAAAAAAACCATAAATATGGCTCATGAAGAGAAAAATTTTACAATAAAAAAAAAGAGTGTTGGATACTGAAATGGCAATGCTATCAAATGGATTTTCTGAAATGGCATTCTTAAATTAATTGCATGGGCGTGAACATCTTGTTTCGGGACTAGTTACCTCGATTAGACTTTATGATAATGTAAAAGACTGGATAATCTAGCCAATGACATATTATTCTCTCAAATGTGGACAAAGCATCTAGACTAATATTCGAAGAATATTTTTCTGGGTGAAAGAGACTAATTGAGACATTGGAGGAAAATGGAATCATTCTCCAAAATTAACACAAGAATATGACGGCCTCCAAGCAACAACCTAGACAGTTGATAAATGGCTACTATCCCGCGGCGCACCCTGTATTATACAATTTTCATTGACTGAACAGACTTTCATGGTGGGAAGGGGGTGGTGGTGATTGCCGAATAGTTAGCACGCGCGTGCTGTAGCATAACGTCTGTCATTGAGTCAAATGGCGTGGTTTCGATTCCCCAAGCAGTAGGGTTGCCTTTCCAATCTCGTGGGTTTTATCCGGCTGCTCCGGTTACCTCCCACTGCTAAAGACCCTACGCGCAAGCGAATTATTGAAATAAAATTGAACCATATGTTAGTCCCGAAATGACCTGGCTTGTGTCGAGTGGACGTTAAACCCCCCTCTCTCTCTCCCTCTCTCTCTCTCTCTCTCTCTCTCTCGTTGGTTAATAACAGTGTAATATAACTCACGGGTTGTATCCCAGACTGCTGCAGACGACCCTCATTTCCTCTGGACTCCACCCATCATCACACAGGGTCCCCCATTGATTATCGTGGAAGACTTCAACCCGACATTCATAAGGTACATTACTGCCCACTAGTCTGTACGATGCAGCTAGAAAAGTTTAAACAAAAAATAAATCAGGTCCCGAGTTCAAAAATCATTCTCAGACTTAAGTTAAGAATTTACTCAAAATTGTTCGTCTTATTGTAACTAAAATATAGCCCTTTATAAAACTTTTGTTGTTTTAATAGATCAAATACACCAATAAGAAACTATGTGCAAAGTTTTGTGTTTCTGGATCAAAGATATTTCTCATAAACAGTGATTGAAAGTTGAGTAAATTTTTAACTTAAGATTTTTTTTTGCTTTGTGAACTCGGGGCCAGACCGTGTATTAGCTATACAAGTTCAAACAGAAAAATGGAACAGGCTTCGAAGATCGATCATGTATCAGCTATTAAAGTTCGAACAAAAAAATGAAACAGGCCTAGAAGGTCGGGCATTTTGTTATGTGGTTGGAAGAAAAGAGACTGCAGTAGATTATACGCGTTACGGCCATTCAAAATAAATTTATACGGCTTTGCTCTAAGTGCCAGGTTACAATCCCTTTTGTAATAACAACCCCTATTGTAACATCAACCCCTATTGTAATAACACCCGCTATTGTAATAACAACGCCTATTGTAATAACAACCCCTATTGTTTAAATAAAAACATATTATTATAACAGCCCCTACTGTAATAATAACCCCTATTGTAATAATAACCATAGTGTAATAACAACCCCTATTGTAATAACAACCCCTATTGTAATAACAGCCACTATTGTTTAAATAAAAACCTATTATTATAACAGCCTCTATTGTAATAACAACCCCTATTGTAATAACAACCCTATTGTAATAACATCCACTAGTGTAATAACAGCCACTATTGTAATAAAAATAATAATTGTAATAAAATTTATCTTAACTCCTATTGTAATACTGGCCCCTAGTGTAATAATTGTAATTGGTGTATTTTGCCTTACAATCAATTCGAGATCTAATCTTAAAAGTCTAATTTTACTTTTCGGCACCGACTGGGATAACAGAGCCATACAGCGCCACTTATGGCCTTCTCTTATATCGAATTTCAACAGCCAAGGGATCTTAAACGTGCAAGCCAGTGTATATACACGGGATCTCCGCTTTTCATACCATCCGAACGATTATACGTTGTCGTTTGTCGGGCCATGTCCAGATCCACTGACAAGGGGAGGGAGGGGGCATGTCAAAAAACACCGGGACCTCCGGATTATCGAGCCAACTTCTTGATCACTGAGTCACCGTCACCTCCCATTAAAATAAAAGTATTATAAAAAAGTAAACATGTTTGGAGAATATCATAATATAGACTTACGTTGACATACAACGGAGACATCTTCGTTGTGACTACAGTTATTTCTGCCCCATCCATGATGTATACATTTGTCTAACGCAGGCTCTGTTCCAACGCAAGCCACGTGATCTAACCAAACAGTACCGGTTCCCCTGCCGTAGAAAGCACCTGGTATCGCGTTTGCTCGTAATCTGAAATATAAAAATGTAATGAGGTTTAACGTCCTACGTTTCTGCACCGATTGTGATAATGAAGATATGTTATACCGCGGTGTGATGTGAAGGGATTTTTGTCTGGAGAGCGGCGCTACGGCCTACTTAAATTTCGAATTCCACTTGTCAGTGGATGTATTCTTGAGGAACACATGATTGTGATTGCTGGGTCTCGGGACGTGCGCCACCGTCAATTCCAGATAAACGCTCTCAGTCAGGTGAATGCCAAGATGAAACCCGAGACCTTTTGGACTCTGATAACACCAAGATGAAACCCGAGACCTTTTGGACTCTGATAACACCAAGATGAAACCCGAGACCTTTTGGACTCTGATAACACCAAGATGAAACCCGAGACCTTTTGGACTCTGATAACACCAAGATGAAACCCGAGACCTTTTGGACTCTGATAACACCAAGATGAAACCCGAGACCTTTTGGACTCTGATAACACCAAGATGAAACCCGAGACCTTTTGGACTCTGATAACACCAAGCCACCGTGGCTGAGGACTTGAATAACACAGGCTCCGAGTTCACAAAGCATTCTCAGACTTAAGTTGAGAATTTACTCAAAATTGTTCGCCTTATTTTAACTAAAATATAGCCCTTTATAAAACTTTTGTTGCTTTAATGTATCAAATACATCAATAAGGAACTATGTGCAAAGTTTTGAATTACTGGATCAAAATAAACAGTGAGTGAAAGTTGAGTAAATTCTTAACTGAAGTCTGAGAATGCTTTGTGAACTTGGGGTCAGGTTATACTTACGGGCTTAATCCTAACTGTCTACAGACTACGCTCGCCTCCTCTGGTCCAAACATATGATCACAAACTGTACCCCATTGGTTGTCAAAGAAGACCTCTAGTCTCCCTGCATGGTAGCCAGGTCCATTTACTAGACGGTAAGAAATATCTGCAATAAAATATTACTTTCATTAGTTGTGTTTTGTAAATCACACGCAATTGCGAATCCGGCATGTAAACTACAAAATATTAACTTTTTTCCTCTGACAAATTAAATTCTAAAACATTTTTTTATGTATTAGATAAATAAATAAAGACATTTGACGTTTTTGTAGGTAAAAATTATTTCCTATTTAGTGTACGTGGGTATTAGATTGAGTAAAAGGCTCCATTCCACCCGAACCAGTAAGGTCTTATGTAATCAATGCACGTGTCATTGAGCCAATGATTGACGCAGCGTGATGAGAAGTCGCGTTTTGAAGGTGGTCATCTTTTACAGAGAAGACTTTTCGTAATCCTCTGTGAAACAGATTGATCCAGGGTGAGCCACTGGTCATATGTGTACTCATGTTATTGTGACGTGTACACAAACCAAGAGTTGGCCAATGCCTATTAACAGCGGATTGTAAACATGTGACGCGATATGTCAGGTAGGTGTTTATGTTCTCCTATTTATTTCAGTTGTTTTATTTGAAACGTGTGTCTCGTTTGCCCCTACCCTGTTGAATTTGTATTTCAAAGGTAGCCTTTCAACTTTCAATTAGTAAAAAGGCGTTTGCTCCTATACTATTGAATTTGTATTTCAAAGGTAGCTTCCAGGATTTTACGGCCACTCGACGCAAACTAGGTCATTTTGGGACTAATATATCGTTCAAAAATTCCCCTTCGCGTAGAGGATTTTAGCACGTGCTAACTATTCGACCATCCAACCCCCCTGGAACATGGGAAATTTGCTAAGGCCTATCCAATGTCATCTGTCAGGCGATCACAAGGTCTGTCAAAGAGTCAAGGGACCTTGGCCTAAACAAACCACAAATGAAAGCCAGGAGCTGGAAAACTTCCACGGGACATGAGTAAAATGTCAAACAAACCTTTGCAAACAACAGCGACATCTTCACTATGATTGCAGTTATGTACTCCCCATCCATCATGTCGACATTCGGCCAACGAATTTTCTGAACCAGCACACATAATATTATTTAACCAAATAGGTCCAGTACCTCCGTAAACATGACCGGCCTTGGTGTTAGATCTAAAATTATAATCAAATATAGGTTTAATTTTAGAAAATCTCACGAATACTGGTGTCAGCCATTACCATGTGATAGAACTGGTTAAACGCGTTCCAAATATAATTTTAACACGGAGATCATTGCTACGATAGATGCCTTATGACGATTTCAAGAAAGGGAAGTGACGAACGTAATAGGAAAACAACCAACTGAAGTGACGAGTGATAACAGATACACGGGTGAATTTCTACTCACTAATAATTTCTTAGAAGACCAAAAGTTGTTATATGAGACTGTGGGAGGATATCTGACAATTCAAAATAATAATTGACTATCACTAGATTATAATCCGTACATTTTTTGTTTTTATTCATTCTATACTTAATAAAACATGGTAATGCACCGACTTTTTTTCTCGTTTGCCCATATCTAGTAACATTCAAGTACTTTTTTGAATTATCAGATATCCTCTCACAGCCTCACATAATAACTTTTGGTCCTCGAAGGAATTATTAGTGAGCAGAAATTCTCGTCCGTGTATCTGTTATCACTTGTCACTTCGGTCAGTTATATAGAAGGATAACTCGTGTTTTCCGCTTGCGTTCACCACTTCCATTTCTCGAAATCTTAATAACGCAACTATCATAGCAATGATTCGTGTTTTAAAATCATATTTGGTTCTATGACATATGTGGCAATGACTTACACCAATATTGTCCTTTAATATGTGGTAATGACTGACACCAATATCGTCCTTTAATATGTGGTAATGAATGACACCAATATTGTCCTTTAATAGGTGGTAATGACTGACACCAATATTGTCCTTTAATATGTGGTAATGACTGACACCAATATTGTCTTTTAATATGTGGTAATGAGTGACACCAATATTGTCCTTTAATACGTCTCTATTATGGGTTTACTTGTTTCTCTATTTCATCCGGTCAGAAAATGAAATAAAATGAAATGGGGTTTAACGTCCCACTGTTCGTCTCCTGCTGAAGACAGTGTGCTATGTGGAAAATTTTGTCCGAACAGCGGCGCTATGGCCTACTCTTGTATCAAATTGCAACGACTAAGTAGGTCAGATTTGAACAATTAAATAGTATATGCCACCTCTTGCTCTGATCGTGAAAGCGCGGGATTAGGTGTGTGTGTATGGGGGTGGGGTGGGGGCTCATAGGTGGATTAACCTTGGGTCTTACTTCGTCTAAATCCGAAACTGAACATAGGTGGAACAGCCCAGGACCTCTCTAAACCAGACACTAACATAGGTGGAATAGCCCAAGACCTCTCTACACCAGACACTAACATAGGTAGAATAGCCCAGGACCTCTCTACACCAGACACTAACATAGGTGGAATAGACCAGGACAGCTCTAAACCAGACCCTGAACATAGGTAGAATAGCCCAGAACCTCTATAAACCAGACGCTGACATGGGTAGAATAGCCCAGGACCTCTATAAACCAGACATTAACATAGGTAGAATAGCCCAGGACCTCTATAAACCAGACACTAACATAGGTAGAATAGCCCAGGACCTCTATAAACCAGACACTAACATAGGTAGAATAGGACTGAATAATTTAAATAATACGTACGGATTGAATCCTAGACTCCTGCAGACGACTGATTTCTCTTCTTTTCCCCAGCCGTCATCACAAATGGTTCCCCACGTGCTGTTGTATTTTATTTCTACTCGTCCTTCAAACTTCGATTTTCCGCCAACCAAGCGAAACTCTGTCATTGCTGCAAAAATAAATAGTAAGCAATGGATTAACAGAAAATGGAAAAAGTATTAACGTCCGACTGTACTGCGCGGGACTGGGCTAATGAAGACGGGCATATGTCATAAAGTGTGCTGCACTAGGTCATTTCGGGTCTAACATATGTTTTTTAATTTTATTTCAATAATTCGCTTGCGCATAGGGGTCTTTAGCAGTGGTATGAAACCGGAGGACCCGGAGAAAACCCACGAGGTTGGACAGGTCACCCTACTCCTTGTCACGTACAACCGGGGATTCGAAACCACGCCAGTCGACTCAATGACAGACTTTATGATACAGCGCGCGCACGCTAACCATTCAGCCATCCAACCCCCGATTATTTGACCAGTTGTGTGTGTGAGAGACGAAATCAGCTGATGGTTGGGCAGGCAAATCTGATCGTTGTCACGTATACAGGACTGGTATCGACAGTTACAACAAATTATGATGGAAGCAACATGACATTTACTTTAACAGGGACTACAAGTATCTTATACTAGTACAACCAGTCTCAGATATCTTATACTGAGAGAGAGAGAGAGAGAGAGAGAGAGAGAGAGAGAGAGAGAGAGAGAGAGAGAGAGAGAGAGAGAGATGGGTTTAACGTCCATTCGACACAAACTAGGTCATTTCTGGACCATCATATGCTTCAATTTTATTTCAATAATTCGCTTGCTTGCGCGTAGGGGCTTTAGCAGTGGGAGGAAATGGGGTTTAACGTCCATTCGACACAAACTAGGTCATTTCTGGACCATCATATGGTTCAATTTTATTTCAATAATTCGCTTGCTTGCGCGTAGGGGCTTTAGCAGCGGGAGGAAACCGGAGGACCCGGAGAAAACCCACATTTATGAAATAAATGGGGTTTAATGTCCTACTTTTCTGCCCCGACTGGGCTAATGAACACGGGCATACGCCATACAATGTAATGAGACGGAAATATTTTCAGGACAAGGGCTACCCACTCTTATATCGAATTACAACTGTCATGGGTTCTTTTACGTGCACGCCAATGTACATATACATGTGACCCCGGTTTTCATTCCACCCGAACGACTATACCTGTCCCTTGCCAGATCCCCTGTCTTACTTCACAGACAAGGGCGAACCAAGCAGGAAAGTCCCGATCTTATCGAGACAACGTCCTACTCACTTATCCTCCGTGTAACCCATATGTTTCATATTACTTGTAGATGTATATCTTGTCTATTTATTTTATAAAATATGTGGACCTGCGGTGGATCCGTGAGTATGACACTGGCGTTACCAGAGAAAGATTCTCAAGATTTAACAGGCTGGTTTGCCATTGTTACTGGTGCTGGAACTGAGAAGTCGTTGGCGTGCACGTAAAGAACCCTCGACAGCTGGAGTTATGACGGACGGTTTAGAAAAAATGAATGCAGTTGACTTGGAGAAGAAGAAATGGGGTTTAACCTCCACTCAACACAAACTGTGTCATTTCGCGACTAACACATGGTTCAATTTTATTTCAATAATTCGCTTGCGCTTAGGGGTCTTTAACAGTAGGAGGAAACCAGGTGACCCAGAGAAAACCCATTTAGGTTGAACAGGGGACCCTACTCTTTGCCACGTACAGCCGGAGAACCGAAACCACGCCAGCTGACCCAAAGACAGACCTCACGATACAACGCGCACGCGCAAACCTTTCGGCTATCCAACCCCCATCAATTGACTCGGAGTAACCTCTGTACACGCGAAACGTATAGCGTTAAACACCATTTTATTTATGAAATATATATTTTGTTGTGAGAAAGAAAACCAGTTCGAGTCGAGCAGGCGAAACTCTTCTTGTCACGTTCAGGTCTGGTATCGAAAATTTAAAAAAAAACTTGATTAAAAAAACTTGACTTTGTCTTTAACACCCAAAAGGTTCAAACACGAAATAAAATACATATAGACTAGCATATTATATACTAAAAGTACGATCAATCCGATCAAAATACAGATGTGACGTAACCCTTTGATATTGGCGTACCATTATTTCAAATAATCGTACGGGCAACATGCCAATCGTACATTATTTATACTAGTGAAATATTGGACTCGTGTGACGTATTTCACTGTAAAAGCACGTGCGGAGTGTCTGTATTTTAAATTGTTTAATGGTCTCGCGCTTAAGAAATTGCGTAATATATTGTAAAAACATTATTACTTAATATTATTACTTAATGACTCGCTCTCGATCATTAAACAATATTTAAACACAGATCCTATTTCGTTTCGTTTTTTTTTTATAGTTCAAAATTTCTGGAAGAGTTGGTTATATAACTCGCGTTCTGATTGATGCTAGGGATTAGCCAATAAAAAATAAGACAACTTATCTGCGATATCACCTTCAGTGAAAGCGTACGTTAGGTACTAAGAACAACAACAAAAAGTAAGCATACGTCGTCGGCTACTTATAGTGACCATACTAATTATCAAAAAATAAAGTTTAAAAACATAAAATTGAAGTTACAGTTAATGAGGCAATTATATTTGTGTATTTATAGGGATAGGGACAATGGTTTAACGCCTGTGCGTTACATCAGAAGGTCTGCCATTGAGTCAAGTGGCCTGGTTTTGATTCCCCGCTTGTATGTGACAAGTAGTAGGGTCGCCTGTCAAATATAATGGGTTTCCTCCGGGTCCTCAGGTTTTCTACCACTGCTAAAAGACTCCTACGCGTAATTCAATTTTTTTAAAAAAAATGAACCGTATGTTAGTCCCGAAATGACCTAGTTTGTGTTAAAGTTGACATTTACCCCCCTCCCCCCGTCTCTCCACCCCTCTCTCTCTCTCTCTCTCTCTCTCTCTCTCTCTCTCTTCATGCCAAAATATATGTTAATCCAATCTCTTACCTGAATCCATGACATATATAAATATCCAAACACCACTACAGATGGAGAAAACGAACAATAAGTATTGTTATTGACACCGTAGCTTAGGTACAACACAGCCTATTAACGCATGGCTATTTACATTCCTGTTTAGACTGTACAATGTAATCCTCGTGACTTGATAATCTGAACACAATAATACGCCCACAGATATGAATAACCGGAATCAATTAAAGATGCATTATGTACGATTTAGACAAAGAGCTGACCATTCTTGCTATAATAGTCAACAAAAGATAATATAAAATGAATGTACTGAAAATTGTCGCAAGATGTAGCGCAGATTGTTTATTATTAAAGCAAAGTTACTGGACAATAGACACTTAGCCTCGTTCGTCCTACTGTTCTGCTCCGACTGGCATAATGAAAACGGGCATACGCCATACAGTGTGCTAAGGGGAACATTGGCCTACTCTTATCGAATTCCAACTGCCAAGAGATCTTTTACGTGCACGCCAATGTATACACGAGACCTCGGTTTTTCGTCCCATCCGAAGGACTAGATAGCCCTCCTTGTCAGACCATCCTTACTGCACCACTGACAAGGGGAAACCATGTCGGAAAATCCCGTAAAATTTTCTCGGTCAATGCAGGGATCGAACACGCGACTTCCAGGCTAACAAGCCATGATGTCTTCACAGTTACTAAAGACTGTGGTATTCATAGGACGGGGAATCAAGTTTATCAAAGCATGAATCTATTAATTATTATTATTATTACATAACTTATATAACGCAGATCCCACTATAAAGTGTTCGAATGCACTTAACGAAGTAAAATAAAGTAAAATATTTCATTTAAATCAACAAACTTTACGTTATATTAAATTAAGATAACGCTACTGACATCATTTCTTTACAATATGACAAACAAAAAATACATTTAAATTACTAATAAGATAACAACTGTAACAGGAAACCCATAAAACAAGGAAAATCAAATTAAAACAATTATTCACCATGTTATTTTGAGGAAAAACTTAAATTTCATAAATAGTCATTATGAAAGATGAATACTCGCTTTGGATATCTTCGTAAGTTGTAAAAACTTTTCTCAAGAATGGAGATGGGGATTGGGGTGAAAATAGGGACTGGGGGGTGGGGGGTCAAATCAGAATCTATATAAAAGCGAATTATTGAAATATAATTTAACCATATGTTAGTCCCGAAATGACCTAGCTTGTGTCGAGTGGACGTTATACCCCATTTTTTTTCTCTATCGTGGGTACAAGAAAAATACGATGCTATGGGTTGACCAGTACCCTTTCCTGATTCGTATTCTGATTCCATGGGAAAAAGTGCATAAATTTCAATTGGGCCAATTGTAACAAACAAGTTATTACAGACAAATATGATCTATATACACCATACAAATCTGAAAAATAAAGTACATGAATGTGAAATGGTTCTATGAAGGAAATTCTATTTTCTGAAACGTATCAAGATTAATACAAGGTCTAATATCAAGATATAATTCATTTCCTTATGCTAGGTTCTCACTGTCGTACGATGAGTTACGATAGGATTACCCCTATTAAAGGACAATATTGGTGCCAGTCATTATCACATATGTGATAGAACTGGTTAAACACGTTCCAAATATTATTTTATCACGGAAATCATTGCTACGATATATGAGTAATCAATCTTTAAACAATCGGAAGTGACGAACGCAAAAGGAAAACACGAGTTATCACTCTATGTAACTGATTGAAATGACGGGTGGTAACAGATACATGGGCGAATTTCTGCTCGCTAATAATTCCTTCGAAGACCAAAAGTTGTTGTGTGAAACTATGAAAGGATATCTGACAATTCATAAAAAATTGGCTGTCACTAGATAAGAGAACATGAAAGAAAAATTGAAAAAGTCAGTGCTTTACTATGTTTTTATAAGCACAGAATGAATAAACACACGTGAATGTACGGACTGTTTCTATTTTTCTCGTGTTCTCTTATCTAATGACATTCAATTACTTTTTTGAATTGTCAAATATCCTCTTACAGTCTCATATAACAACCTTTGGTCTTCGAAGGAATTATTAGTCAGTTATATAGAGGGATATCTCGTGTTTTCCTTTTGCGTTCGTCACTTCCGATTGTTTAAAGATTGATTACGCATCTATCGTAACAATGATCTCTGTGATAAAATAATATTTGGAACATGTTTAACCAGTTCTATCACATATGTGATAATGACTGGCACCAATATTGTCCTTTAAATCCACGATCTGGTACGTGCAGATCAACACGATTGCTACGATTGACCTCAATATTTGATAAGATCTAATAGGATCACTATGATTGCTCAACGATTATAACCACGATTTTAATCGTAGCGCGAATTGTGATAATGGGAACCTAGAATTAAGGAGAGAATTGGACAGTAACAAAACGTTGACCAAAATTTAAGAGCGTTTCTAATTTTGGCGTAAAACGAACTTTATGATCGGATGATCTAAAGTTTCTACTTGGTATATACATTAATAAAAGTTCATATAATTGGAGCTAAAGTGTTGATACATAGTAAACCCTTAAGTCAATTCTAAACTAAACTGTGAATCTGGTGTGATTTGACCCAACTTATGGATCATAAGACATGCCGCTTTGTTCTTTACGCTATGCAGTTCACCAATCAGTTTAAAAATTATGGCTAAACAGGAGATGATCTAATCATTGACAAGCGTCTCATTCCCAGCGTGAAGTCAGTTGCTGATCACTAAACCCGAATAATTGTGCTCTGGTTCGTTTCTATTCGCCAGGCCAGAATATGTCTCATCGGTATTGGTTGTATCTTGAATAGCCTGTGTCGTTTCATTATGTTTTCGTTTCCTGGAATAAAACACACAAACATTTGATGAAGGACATATGCACATCTAGAAAAAATGGGTGCTCCAGTTGAAGAGCTGGGAGGGTGGCAGTCACAATGTATAAATAACACGCGGGATGGTTTCAGGGCTTTCAAGGCATGTATTGTTCTCAGGTTGTTTTTTTTTATATCTCAATATGCGAACATTTAATTAATAAAGTTTAGAGATAACGACGTAATAAGACGACATATTGGTTACGGTGTTTTAACACATATAAGATAAAGACACCGCAGATATCGGAGGAAGGGCATATGGGTATTTTTCGTAAATAGCTCCTGTTTAAAAATGTTGATTTAATTAATTTGCTTGCTATATGTAATGGATGGGGGGGGGGGGTTAACACGTGCGCGCTGTATCATACGGTCTGTTATTGAGTCAACTGGCGGGGTTTCGATTCTCCGGTTGTACGTGACAAGGAGTAGGCTCGCATTTCCAACCTCGTGGTTTTCTCCGGGTCCTGCGGTTTCCTTCCACTGCTAAAGCGAATTATTGAAATAAAATTGAACCATGTATTAGTTCCCAAATGGCTTAGTTTCTGTCGAGTGAACGTCAAGCCCCATTTCTCTTTCTATATGTAATGAAGTAAAAATAGCATATTTCATTCTAAACGAATTTGACTTCCTTATAACTTCCTTATTCCTTATTGATAATATTTCCCAGCACCCTGAAATTCCCTCGTAGATTGAACGGATGCTTAATACAATTATAATTTTTATCATCATTATTATAATTATTATTACTATATTATTAGTATTTATAATTCTAAGTATTACACACCTCCTGATGACATATATACCACCGATCAAGCATGCTGCTAATATAACTACAGCCATAACAATAACAGCAACTAGTAACCCCGTATTAACATTGTTATCAATGTTATTAATACCAGTGTCGTTGTTGATATCAATTGGTATGGTTGTTTCGTCAGTATCTGTACTATTTTTACCTGATGAAGCAAAAAATCAATACAATTGATACCGGGATTAAAAGGAAATGTTAGGTTCTTCACTAATGTCGGTACTGGCTAAATCTGGTAATGAAGCAATTTGATGTTTGATTATGGGGTAGGTCCTCGAGTCAGGAGGCGTGGTTTCGATTCATCGCTGGCTTGTACGTGACAAGGAGTACGTGACCTGTGCGCAAGCGAATTATTGAAATAAAAGTGAAACATGTGTTAGTCCCGAAAAGACTTAGTTTGTGTCGAGTGGACTCTCATGTCACAAACCCATCTTCCATTACACCAAACACGATACAATATGACCTAAATAAAATGTCGACGAGAGACATGCGCGTAACCAATCTATTGTTTGATATTTTAATCAATAAATAAACCGTTAGATCACTAAATGCCACTTAAAGAAGTCATATCAAGACTAACATACATGTTATAATAATTTATTTGAACCAAGTGTCAACAAGGAGCTGGATAAACACCCATGACGTGCACTATCAATGAGGAAAGCATGTTCCTGAAATAACGACCGGAAGCTTTACATCATTTAACCATTGCTAGATTAGTTTAAAATTATAGGTGCGTTATCTCAATTCACCACAGACACGTGAACAATAGCGTTGTCCAATCAGAGATTATGACACAAACACACTCAAATCAAACATGGCGACCTCCACTGAAACCTTGACATTGAATAAACTTTGAACTTTGAAGCTCGATTATCACAGACCTGGTATTCGCGATGATATTTTCTATCAAGGAATCTAAGAGTTCACCGGCCAGGTCAGTAGCCAATCACAATTAGTGACGAAATATGCAGGGTACGTGAAGGGCTTGATAAGATGTACGGGGTTAAAGCCAGATCAAGCCTTCTTTTGAAGATGTGGGGGAAGCAACTTACCAATAGCACTAGAGCAGCCATCACAAGATAAGTTTGAATCTGTAATGGAATAGGCAGTACTAAAGTATAACTCTACTTTTATTTGGTGAACCCATGAACTATTAATTTTAAAATTTAATTTTGGTCGACAATAATATATGTTTATAGAAATATTTTAGATATGTTTGGTTATTAATGGTTTTCCGTTCAATCGTTATGGTCAATGTATTTCTACAATATATCACATTTCAGTACAAATGGCAAATATAAAAATTTAATTTTGTAAATTTAGCAATGAGTGTCGACAAGGGATCACATATAACTATAAATTATGGAAACCAATAAATATATTCCTTAATCGAAATGAAACTATTAAGATGGGAATTACGAAAATGGAACATACCTGATTTTAATTTCATCCAGATCATATCATAATAATCAGCCAATAAATCATCAATAACTATGTTAATCAGATTTTCAGATTTAATATATTTACTCCCACCATCTTCCAGTACTGCAGTGATAAAGTTGACCAAAGAGTTTTTATTTGTCGATATTTTGATCCTGTTGTTAGATTGCTGACTCAGATGAACATATACAATCTCTATCTCTATCTGTTGTTGATCCTGGCTGGTTATATTACAACACTGGGTAGTAGGTGATGTTGTACCAGTAAAATATAAATATTCTCCTTCATTTATAGATGTCTGGGTTATATCCACCAGATTATGTATTGTCGAAGCTGCAAAAATACAAAATAGTTTAAATACATTTTCCAGAGACAAAATAGTAAATACAACAACAATCGTACTCTTGTCAGTTTGAAAGACTCCTTGACTTCTATACTCAATAACATGTCTGGTAATCGACGGTGCTAGCGTTAGGTTACTCTGTTATACATTGACTGGTGACGTATATTTAATATGATGTATATAGATCCATAAGTTAATCTCAAGATAAATTATATAAAACTGTAAAAGTCATGATCTTGACAAAGGGGCGTCACTCTCCTAGAAAGTGTATCTAGCCGTTCGAGTATGAACATATTACACGTTCAGATAATTTGCAGATTGAATTCGAAGAAGAATAAACAAACACATTTCGACAATAAGTCGACATCTCCACCACTGCATCCGTACCATTAAATATAGACCTAAAATGTCATTCCATTCTCCCATTATGGCGACCTCCTACCACACTGGACAGATTCGTGTGATCTTTGTGTAGTTAACGTGTCCATCTAGTTTCGGTCTCTTTACTATTAATTACTATGAAATATTGAAATAAATCCAAGTAGTGAGATAAGTGATTGAACTTACTTACCTGATATACAAGTATAAGGATAATAAATATAATCATATATTATGTTAGAGATGTTAATTGGTGGTCTGATACTACATCTTGGTTTATTAGAACAGTTTCTGTAAACCTCCATACGATATTGTTCATCATCTACTTCAAGTCTATATAAATGATCGTTTAGATTTGTTACATCGTTTCTAGAACATGGTGTAAGAGTACAGGGGTTGGTATTTAGTTTAAAGGGACAGGAGGGTGTGATCTTATTAGCATAGTGTATTTTACGTATCTCGTCTCGTTCATCAATTGCTATAACTTGACCATCATCACAGGTCAGTGTATGTTCTGTACCAGATTCTCCATAGCATCCAAACTCAACACGACATTCATCATTGTTCACAACTGAAAGTAATGGATGAATTTTACAGTTTACTCTATCATATTTTAATATACATACCAAATATGGATAGCATGGTTACAAGTCATGTATCATCTAGTCTATGTATATATAGGATGAAATTGGTCCACAAAGTTTGACAGACTGTAAGTAACGTTGAAATATATCTGAGTATATTAATATAAAATTAAGCGTAATCTATCCCAACTCGACCTAAAAAATAAAACCCAGTGTCCACAAATCTATAGAGAAAACTACAGGTTAAACTCATGGCCAACTACATCAGCTAAAACATAATTAACTTACCTAAATGTCTAGAGCAGTCATCGCAAGTTATTGTTGAACCTATAATAGATCATATTAATACTTATTATATTACACATACATTAGTATGGAAGCGTATTAGGGGCAAATAAAAATTAATAACAATTGTGATTGTGTTTTGAACACGTTTAAATTATCAGTTCCTTAGTGACATAATGGCTTCTTTATTCCTCTAAAAGTGGCCCCGTCCGGTCCAAATGAACTTCATTAAGTCATCTGTTAACTCGATTGGAGCTAAAACTAAGGCGCTACCTTAAACCGCATTTCATTAATAAGAACAATTGTAAATTGGGATCACCCAACCAACGCATCTAATAATTGAATTAACATATCCACCACAAGGACAAAGAGCTTTACAAATGCACTTTGGGCAGTTTGGGTTAAATGTCATATGGTTTGTACCCTAGAGACCTGTTCCGAATTATAATGGAAGGCTGGACAGGCGACCTTACTCCATGTCACGTACAACCATTTGACTCAATGACAAACCTTATGGCCAAACGCGCACGCGTTAGCCATTCGGCCACCCACCCCCCTCAGCGAAACGGGACTTACTTGAATTGATCTTTATCCATATGGCATCATCACTTTCAGCTGGTAAATTATCAATTACAATATTAATCTGATTCCCTCTAATAACTGATGAGTGTCTTCTATCAGTGAAAACTTCTTCCCCACAGTTGAACAAGCTTTTTTGCCCTGACGTCATCTGGATCCTTTTACTAGATTCGGCACTCAAACGAATGAATATAGATTCTACCTGAATTTGTCCTTGGTTGGTAATATTACAACATTTGGTGAAGGATGGTGTTTTACCAGAAATATATAAATAGTCACCACGGTTTATAGATGTGTTGGTTATCTCAGCCAGGTTATTTATGGAAGAGACTATAAAATCAGATAGTTTTATATTAATGCCTGACGTGTGCTGGTTCCTACGAATCTATATACATGGCCGTACAGACTACAGCCAATTTTTTTTCTTTAAAAAAAAATCACATGTTAACAGACGAACCTGATTAAATTACAGATCCTATTTCGTTGCGTTTTTATAGTTCAAACTTTCGTTTTACTTGTCTTTACTACACTAGGATCTGGAAGAATTGTTATATAACCCTCGTTCTGGTTGATATGATGGATTAGCCAATTAAACGGTCTGTTGTAGCGAGTTTTTGGCGTAGGAACTGTGGATATCCTACTAGAAACATCAGCGCTGATTGGTTAATCAATTGTCTGGCGTCATAGGGTCAAAAGTTGCTCGTGTGACCCCTGACTCGACCCCGCCACTAAAACTGGTCAGATCTTCATGTATTAGATGCCATCGAAAGTATAATTAAAAACGAAACGAAATATAGATCTGTATTTTAATCAGATGGAGATGAACCTGAGACAGAAGCCGTACGTTTCAGAATGAACCTTGTAATTTCAAGTCGTATTGCCCAAGTCATATGTGCCAATTAGATTTTATTAAATAAAACAAAAAACATGCAATCAAATGGGGTTTAACACATAAATATCTACACAATGAAATATTAAATCATTTGCTCCCATATAATTATATCTGAAATCTGAATTATCAATTATTAAAATCTGAAATAGTATTATTAAAGATAGATTCAATTAAACATTATTCTGCACTAGCTCACATGGGTCGTGCTTATTTCAGGATAATACGGACCTTTCGTATCGCTAAGAAAATGAAAACGAAAAAATGCCGGATTACGTTTTCGTCCACGTTTCCTCTTACACACGGTTTCGCAATTCGACGTACGATCGGTCGTATGTTAAAATATTCCTATTCAGATGATCTAGCCTATTTTCTAATCATGTATTTCAACTTTATTGATTATTCAGATTATTTTAAGAGGGAGAGAGAAATGGTATTTAACGTCCACTCGACACAAACTAGGTCATTTCGGGACTAATATATGGTTAAACTTTATTTCAATAATTTGCTTGCGCGTAGGTGGGTTTAGCAGTGGGAGGAAACCAAAGGACCCTGGAAAAACCCACGAGGTTGGACAGACGACACTACTCCTTGTCACGTACAATTGGCGAATGGAAACCACGCCGGTTGACTCAGTGACAGACTTTATGATACGATTATTGAAGTCTTACAACGGTCTAGGAAATGAAACATTATTTGATTTAATAATTTACCTGGTATACATATATAAGGATAGTAGATATAATCGTAATCAGCTCCAGGTGTGAAAGGAGAGGTGAGGCTACAGGTATATTTATTAGAACAGTTGATGTAAACCTGTAATCGGTAGTCTCTATCTACAGGTGATGATAGATCTGTTATATGTTTCCTACAACATGTCCTGTCATTACATGGGTTGGTATCTAGACTCGTATTACAGTACGGGTTGATCTTGGTACCATAATGTATTTTACGTATCTCGTATCTTTCATCCATTGATATAACTTCATCTACATCACAGGTCAAGGTGTGTTTGGAACATTGTGATCCTGGTTCTCCATAGCAACCAGACTCATACCGACAATCATCACCTTTTGGACCTGAAATAAAAATATGTGTTTAAACAGATCGTACAAATTAAACAATCATTACATTATGTTAGATAGTTCGGAGACTAATCTTGTGCTTTTGCATCTGACGCTCGTTCTTCATTATAATTATTATAAATGCATTAAAACTAGGGACAGGTCGTTCGTTAAGTGAGAATTTCCAAGAATATTCCAGGGATACAACTGGTTACGTCGAAGTAAAAATCTCAGTCAAACCTTTAGACTCATTCGGTCATAAACTAAATGCACTTGAGGAATTCAAAAACTACCATATGTCTTAGAAAATATATCTGAAGGTAAATATGTACTCACTTGCATAATTGAATCCAAAGCAGTCTTCACACGTTATACTTATATTTGAATCTAAAATACAGAATTTTATAATAAACAAAAATAAAACAATATATAATTATGATTATAATAAATACGAGGTGTTGTGGACCTTCGGTATCCAACCTTCTATGTATAAGATATACTTAGTCTGACTTTAAACAATAGATGATATTCTTACCGGAGATTAACCGAAACCAAATAAAATCATCATCTTCCACATCAGCGGTATTTAATACAACATGGTACATCGTATCTCCTGAAATTGATAACTCTTTTAAACCAAAGAAAACACCTCCTTCATCTAAACATCTCAATAACGTATGATTCTGTGAATAAATCTTCACGTTGTGGCTTGATTCTTCTGCCAGATAAATGTATATACTTTGGATGGTTATTATTTCTTCAGGACTTGTTAAATTACAACATCTAGTAATTGTTGTACTTGTAGTTTGTGTTTTACCAGAGTAATATAAATAACCTTTAGAAAGAATACTGACATTGGTGATCTCCATCATATTGTATATCTGATGAACTATAAATAAAAACAACTAATTATACCATGCATGATAACCCTAGTTACAACAAATCAAATAAGATTTGTACAGCAAGTACTTTTGGGGCAGCAGTTAGAACACATCAAATAAAACATATAAACCAGATTTACAAAATAGTTGATGCTTCTGTTAATTTACTGTTAGCATATTTTGTACGAACTGAATTTGTATACCGTAGATATATCATCAATCTTTGTTCATTTTTTAATTATTTTATTTTAGTTTACCTACCTGGAATACACCTGTATGTATATATTATATAATCATAATCAATAACAGATCTGTAAGGAGATGCCAGGGTACATGTTTGTTGATTGGAACAGTTTCTATAAACTTCTAATCGATATGTGTTGGCAACTGGTATACGAGCCAAAGCATCTGCATTGTTCTGTGTGAACTTACAACAGGTTGCATTACATAAGTCTACACCATGACGACATCTTCTATCATTTCTACCATATGACAGTTGAGCATTATTTTCATCTATGGCTATAACTTTACGGTCTGGACAAGTGAGAGTATGCTTAGAACATGGTGATTCTGGTGGTCTATAACAACCAGTAGTTAACTCGCCATAAACATCCACAAACATTGCTGAAATATAAACGTAGTTATTTCATAAACATGGCTATAACTTCATGATCTGGACAAGTCAGAGTATGTTTATAACGTGGTGATTCAGGTAGTCTATAGCAACCAGTAGTTAACTCGCCATAAACATCCACAAACATTGCTGTAATATAAACATAAAACATTCCAGGCTATCTTTACATCATTTACAGTGTTTATAGTTTACATCATTTACAGTGTTTATAGTTTACATCATTTACAGTGTTTATAGTTTACATCACACCATAAACATCTACAAACATTACTGCAATATAACCATAATTATTTAATAAACATCCACAAACATTGCTGAAATATAAACATAAAACATTTCATGAACATCCACAAACATTGCTGAAATATAAACATAATTATTTCATGTTTTCTCTACAGCATTTGCAGTTTTTATATTTTACGACTTTCACACATATACAATACAACAGAGAGTGTGACTACGGAACAGGCAACTGAAAACCCTTCAACAATACGGGAAAGGTATGAAATATATCTAATATGTTAAGATCTTTACAAGTAGTGTAGCAAATAAATTGTAGATAATTGTGATTATTTCCCTTTATTCTTTTAATACGAACCATTTTATTATCTAAATAAAATTGAACCACGTGTTAGTCCCGAAATGACCATGAGGATGTAGACGTTAAACGCCGTTTCCTTTTCCCTCTCTATTTTATCAATGGCAGTTATCAGTCAAGTTAAACCATTAATACAAATGATTCCTGGACTCATTGCCACGGTCCGGATTATCTACTTTATAGTATTCCACCAACGTAATAGTCAATCAAGGATAAATATTGCCAAAATCAAATTTTAATCGCCACTTTTATTGCGACTTGGGCGACTGACAGCGTGAGCCCTGAATGTAATATGCAAAAACACTTCATGCAAATTAACATAGGAAAGATACAACACAAGGCACATTATTTAAGTATAAAATGTCAAAATTTATTTTGAACGTCACGACAATCGTCAGGTTCTGTTGTTAAATCTACCTATAGAACCTCGGTATTCGCCATTGATAAAATGCGATCTAGTATTAAATGACCATTAGATCGTGGTAGTTCTGTCATATTACAGCTAGAATCCCAACTAGTTTTAGAACTAGCCAGGCCAAGTATTCAATTTAAATCAAGCGCTACTATAATTACCTGTCGTTAAAAGTAAGATGGTAGACCACATTTTTATACAATCCTTGTGATACTATTAAAGGTAAATTATCTTTCTAATGCATAGAGTAAGTAATATTACCGTTTACTTAGTCTATCAGACTTTGATATATATGCACGTAATAATTTATAGGTAAAGCTAAACTATACAACTTGAACATATGTACATGTATATCTATAATAGAAATAATAGAATACAATTTGTAATGGGCCAGTGTAACCATAGGAAGGTTAGATACCATGTATTATCATAGCAGCATTTAAACCCAACAATGTACACAATTTCATTGAAATATCAGGTAGACAATTATATTACTAATAAAGACTAAATTGATATTTAAGCTATGCGTTATTATATAGAGAATCTCCTACGAGTCTTTTTTATATCAAAAAATATCAACAGTCGATAAAGTAAAAAAAAAAACAATATCAACACAAGTTGATAAAGTAAAAAAAACGAGGCTCTATCGAGATGGTCTTTTTTTTACTTTATCGACTAGTGTTGATATTTTTTGATATCAAAGGTACGTCTCTATGCTCTGGATAAATGCACTTGAACTAGATCCGACAATGGGGCGGTGTCCTACTAATTATGGTTGGAAGGACAACGGTAACGATTACTTTATTCCACATTGGTTTGATGGTGAAAGTCTACCACAGAAGGTGAATACCGATGATGAGAAGATAGCTGAAACAGTAGACGAGGGTACAGAAATTAGAGAAGATGATGCTGAAAATTACGGAGATCATGATGCAGTTAATTTTATTGAAGGAGAGTATGATGCAGACACCGATATTGAAGAAGATCTCAATGTCGATGATATGCTTTTTGAGGATGGTGAACAATCCGACGATGCTTGGTCTGATGATAGTGAGAGCGAAGATGATGGTGAAGATGATGATGAAGATGATATTTAAACGAGGTTTGAATTATGTATGACTGTGATCATAACTATTGATGTCCATGTTACCAGGAAAAGATTGGTCGTACATGGAATATATAGAAGACCATGGTATATATAGAAGAGTAACACTTTGGTTTAGATAATATAGCTACCCTGCCATCGTAATTTTGTAGTAGGAGATACTTTAACATTTTGTGAATTTATAGCCTTATCAGGCAACCAATTTCATGAGGATGGAGCCTATTACGTAATCATCACTGGCGACACTTCCGATCAGTGTAAAATTGCTGTCATTTGTATTTTTGTAGTGTATATACATATTTTAACATTGTGTAAAAAAAATCAGCCATCCCTCTCAATGTATGATTATATCTGATGCCTTATACCTGATGCCATGTTGTGGTATTTAACTGTCACTGTCGCCACTTCCGGTCAGTGTGAAATTGCTGGCAATGATGTAGGAATGTTTGGAACCGTCTAATGAATCATATTCAAAAAGTTTTAGCCATCCCTCACTTAGTATGAATAAATGAATTTTGGACAGCACTTGACCTTTGCTGTCCAAGGTCACTGTCAACAAAAAGTTGCTGTCAATGGTGTTTTTCGACTCAGTATTACCTATATATTAAATATTATCAAAAATTGTCCATCCCTCCCAAAGTATGATTAAAAGTGAAAATGGGCTCCCTTTAGGACCCCACACCACCTAAATGGGCAGGTTAGTTCCCGGCAGCAATCCAGATGTTTGACTAGTAGGCATTGACAAACAATTATGCCCTATCAGACAATTTCCCTCTCTTAGTATGATTAACTGAAGCAGGCGCCCGGTCTAAAAGACGAGTAGGAAATTGTATTTGTCACGAAATCCTTTCTTACATGCACAATTAAATAAATATAATTCTTTACTATAGACTTCACTTTTACTGAACCTGATTACATTATTTTTGACAGCAATTCAACCATTGCAAAGTCCTTTATATGTACTCTGTGCTTCCATTGAGGTCAATTTAAAAAAAATAGTTAAAGTATCTGATATGACGAACTGGCATAATTCAGCACAAGAAATAGCCAGCTATCATTAAATAGGTCATTTCGGGACTAACATATGGTTAAATTATTTCAATAATTCGCCTGTGCGTAGGGTTCTTTAGCAGTGGGAGGCAACCAAGGGATCCGGAGAAAACCCACGAGGTTGGAAGGCGACGCTCCTCCCTGTCACGTACAGCCGGAGAATCGAAACCACGCCAGTTGACGCAGTGACAGATCGTATGATACAGTGCGCACGTGCTAGCCATTCGCCCCCCCCCCCCGCCCAAAATTCAAAGAATTATTGTTACCTGCTGTTAACAGTAAGATGGTGGACCACATTTTTATATAATCCCCGTGATACTATTTTTAGTAAATTGTCTTCCTTTGAAATCGATCCTAATACAAACACATGATAATTTATAGGTATGTCAATTTGATGACATGCAGAAAACCTCAAACTTATACAACCTGAACATACTATAACGTTCATGTGTATTAGCTATAATAAAAATCGTATAACACAAGGTTTAATCGCTATAATAGAAATCCCATAATACAAGTTTAACTCGATCAATCGAACCAGGAAGGTCAGATACTATGAATTATCCTTATCAAATCAAACAATGTACAAAAATACATTAACACATCACGTGTCCACGAACAGGTAGAAAATAACATTAGTAACAATGACTGTGTATGTGAGAGTAATTCGTTACTTTCTAAACTTTTACAGGACTTAATTCATTACAAGAAATAGCCAGACATGTTTGATTAACCAAAATGGGTCACATTAAGACGAACATAAACTAATGTACCGATATTAGTTTTTATTTGACATCGGTTTTTTGAGGGAGAGTCGTTCGTTCAGTGTATGTGGCGGGTGTTGGTGTATTCTGAAACGGCTTTATCACTGTGTATAAATGAAGAGTTTAGGAAGAAATCGAACTTCTAAGGATTATCAATAATAACAATTGGGAAATAATAAGAACCAAGAAAGCGACTTTATTAACATGTATAACAATGAATAAGGAAACTGAATAATAATAGAGATCGTGTTATTATTGTAAATGAGGATATTAATATGTGTAATAGTATCACGTTTATTTTACTTTTAACAGCAGGTAAGTCCATGTAAACAGTCGTTTAATATCGTGATGTATAGGAGATCACTGTGATATAAGAGATCACTGTGATATAGGCCAATACTGTGATATTACTGATCATCGAGATATTAGATATATCTGTGATATTAGAGATCATGTGATATAGGAAACCACTGTATATGAGATCACTCTGATTTTACAGATAACAGTGACATGTGCGACCATTGCCACATTTGCGATCAGTGATATTTCCAAGAAAGTTTCTCGGGGACCCGTATTTAAAAAGTCATACTGAAAAATCCGCTAGTTTATAGTCAAGGTCGGCTACGCCCTTTCAAAATAAAACACCCTACGTGTCTGCACCGACCGGGATAATGAAGGGGTGGCGCTCTTGCAAAAGTAGTTGCAATAAGTGTCAGTTTTTAGGTCGATATTATCTATAATACATACAGTCTTAAAATAATGTATTGAATAATTTATTTTTAGGTTAACGTCCTTCTAGATTTGAACTCAATCCATCGTGGCGATTTCGTGGGGAAAGTCTGGTTTGGCTACTGATAATGTAAATGGCTGACGTTTAAACTTTTGTCTTAATAATGAGTAATTGATCCACCAATCCTCAGACATTCAGCAATTCGTCGTGGCATGCTCCTAATCAACCGTCCAATCACGATTTGGGGCAATCTGTCCCACCCCTCTTGTAGTGTCACGGCCAATTCTTGCAGTGTTGTCGGTTGGCGTTGACGTCGGCGAACACGTCTCCCGATCAAATTAAACGTAACACATTAAAGCAAAGATACGCTTAACAGTAAGTCTTATGCAAGAACCCATAGGAAAGCAAACATGGATAAATAAACCAGCACGCGGCAGTTTTCATCAACCCTTCCTTGAAGTGTCAAATTTGACAATGAATCACTCCCACGTGTATGGCGTTATTGCGTGTCGCATGTGCAGCTCAGTGGTTCTGTTGGGGCGATAAGTTCTTCATCTGTGAACATACTCTCAAAGCATGTCAAGTGTCCATGAATATTTATCATATCACAACCTGTATAGGTATTTGCATTTCAATATCCCCTACTTTTTTTGAAGAGCATATTTCAATGGTGATTGAGATTGCTGTTATATAACTTATGGTTTTGTCATTGTTTTAAACAATAAATACTGTAAATGATATAAAGATGACATGAAATGTTTTATGTTTATATTACAGAAATGTTTGTGGATGTTTATGGTGTATTGTAAGCTATAAATATTGTAAATGATGTTTATGTTACAGCAATGTTTGTGGATGTTTATGGCGAGTTAACTACTGGTTGTTATAGACCACCAGAATCACCATGTTCTAAACATACCCTCACTTGTCCAGATCGTCAAGTTATAGCCATGACTGAGATGACTAATCAACTGGCATATGGTAGAAATTATATAAGATGTCGTCATGGTGTAGACTTATGTAATGTAACCTGCTGTAAGTTCACACAGAACAATGCAGATGCTTTGGCTCGTATACCAGTTAACAACACATATCGATTAGAAGTTTATAGAAACTGTTCCAATCAACAAACATGTACCCTGGCATCTCCTTACAGATCTGTTATTGATTATGATTATATAATATATACATACAGGTGTATTCCAGGTAGGTAAACTAAAATAAAATAATTAAAAAATGAACAAAGATTGATGATATATCTACGGTATACAAATTCAGTTCGTACAAAATATGCTAACAGTAAATTAACAGAAGCATCAACTATTTTGTAAATCTGGTTTATATGTTTTATTTGATGTGTTCTAACTGCTGCCCCAAAAGTACTTGCTGTACAAATCTTATTTGATTTGTTGTAACTAGGGTTATCATGCATGGTATAATTAGTTGTTTTTATTTATAGTTGATCAGATATACAATATGATGGAGATCACCAATGTCAGTATTCTTTCTAAAGGTTATTTATATTACTCTGGTAAAACACAAACTACAAGTACAACAATTACTAGATGTTGTAATTTAACAAGTCCTGAAGAAATAATAACCATCCAAAGTATATACATTTATCTGGCAGAAGAATCAAGCCACAACGTGAAGATTTATTCACAGAATCATACGTTATTGAGATGTTTAGATGAAGGAGGTGTTTTCTTTGGTTTAGAAGAGTTATCAATTTCAGGAGATACGATGTACCATGTTGTATTAAATACCGCTGATGTGGAAGATGATGATTTTATTTGGTTTCGGTTAATCTCCGGTAAGAATATCATCTATTGTTTAAAGTCAGAAGACTAAGTATATCTTATACATAGAAGGTTGGATACCGAAGGTCCACAACACCTCGTATTTATTATAATCATAATTATATATTGTTTTATTTTTGTTTATTATAAAATTCTGTATTTTAGATTCAAATATAAGTATAACGTGTGAAGACTGCTTTGGATTCAATTATGCAAGTGAGTACATATTTACCTTCAGATATATTTTCTAAGACATATGGTAGTTTTTGAATTCCTCAAGTGCATTTAGTTTATGACCGAATGAGTCTAAAGGTTTGACTGAGATTTTTACTTCGACGTAACCAGTTGTATCCCTGGAATATTCTTGGAAATTCTCCCTTAACGAACGACCTGTCCCTAGTTTTAATGCATTTATAATAATTATAATGAAGAACGAGCGTCAGATGCCAAAGCACAAGATTGGTCTCCGAACTATCTAACATAATGTAATGATTGTTTAATTTGTACGATCTGTTTAAACACATATACTTTTATTCCAGGTCCAAAAGGTGATGATTGTCGTTATGTGTCTGGTTGCTATGGAGAACCAGGATCGCTATGTTCCAAACACACCTTGGCCTGTGATGTAGATCAAGTTATATCAATTGATGAAAGAAGCGAGATACGTAAAATACATTATGGTACCAAGATCAACACTTCCTGCAATACGAGTCTAGATACCAACCCATGTAATGACAGGACATGTTGTAGGAAACATATAACAGATCTATCATCACCTGTAGATAGAGACTACCGATTACAGGTTTACAGCAACTGTTCTAATAAACGTACCTGTAGCCTCACCTCTCCTTTCACATCTGGGGATGATTACGATTATATCTACTATCCTTATATATGTATACCAGGTAAATTATTAAATTTAATCATGTTTCCTTTGTAAGCCAATCGCAAGAAAGTGAGTAATCATGGTTTGACTACAAGCTGGAGATATCCGTATTATATAATTAGAAATATAGAAATAAAGCATAACTGCGAAACCGTTTGTAAAAGTAGAGGTTACGGAACATATTCTCGTTTTTGTGTTTGTTTCGTACCGATTTCAAAGATCCCTTTTGTCCTTAATATCAAACGAGACATGTTAGAAACACTAGATGTAAAATGTGTTTGGATGAAAGTATCTTCAATTGGTAACTCAAACGTCACTTATAATTGCATAAAACTCCTTCCCACAGAGGAGCACTGATTAATATTTCATTTTGTAGTCATCTTATAAGCAAATTTTCCCTCATAGTATACGACATGGCGTAAGATGGCCGTGTTTGTCTATTTCAATCTCTTGGCATCTATGACTTGGGCAAGACAAATTGAATTACTAGGATCACCCAGGAGACTATAGCTTCTGTCTCGGGTTCATCTATTAATAAGTGATTTTTAAAGAAAACAATTGACTGTAGTCTCTATGCCCTTGAGTATAGATTCGAATGAACTAAGATAAATTGAAATTTAATTAAAGCTTTCTTTATTTTTAAAGTTTCTTCCATATATACCCTGGCTGAAATAACCAATACATCTATAAACAGTGGTGACTATTTATATGTTACTGGTAAAACACCATCTTTCACCAAATGTTGTAAAATTACCAATCAAGGACAAATTCAGGTAGAACCTCAGTTCATTCTTTTGAGTGCCGAATCTAGTAAAAGAATCCAGATAACACCAGGAAAACAGACTCTGTTCAAATGTGGGGAAGAAGTTTTCATTGATAGAAGACACTCATCAGTAATTAGAGGAAATCAGATTAATATTGTTATTGATAATCTACCAGCTGAAGGTGATGATGTCATATGGATAAAGATCAATTCAAGTAAGTCCCGTTTCGCTAAACTTCCGTTATAATTAGGAACAGGTAGATGTGTTAATTAAATTATTCGGTATGTTGGTTAGGTGGTCCCGATTCACATTTTCTTTAAATTAATTTTAATAAATGAAGACGGGTGGGATTTATCTTATCTACATCACGATGTAGAGTCCACCTTCAGAGGAAGAATGAAGCCATTATGTCACTAAGGAACTAATTATTTAAACGTGTTCAAAACACAATCACAATTGTTATTTTTATTTGGCCCCAATACGCTTCTGTACTAATGCATGTTTTATTACAATAAGCATTTATTTGATGTATTATAGGTTCAACAGTAACTTGTTATGACTGCTCTAGACATTTAGGTAGGTTAATTCTATTTTATATGAAGTAGTTGGCATTGAGTTTAATGCTTGCACTTTTCTGTATAGATTCCTGATCACTGGGTATTCTATTTGAGATCGTGTTGGGATAGATTACACTTAGTTGTATTCCCACTTCACTTACACTCTGGCGAATTAAGAGACGATGATTCCCCAGTTTACTGTAAACATTGGATAAATTCGTACCTTTTGTAAACTATAACTTATATCATTTTAGCGACAGAAAAAACATTTCCCAGCGTGGGCTTCTTAAGTTTATATTAAACCACACGTGCAGACATACGAAGTAACCAAAATGATACATCCTGGCGCCTGGCATTATTATTATTGTTCGATTTATATAGTGCGTCATTACACATGAGTGTTTCTAAGCGCATTCACAACAAAACAGTCCAAAAACATTTTTGAAATAAATATGTTTTAAGTTAGTCTTTAAAAGCTATGGATGGGAGAGGACTCGCGAAGAGTATGTTGAAGATCATTCCACATTTTAGCTGCTCTGGCGGACAAAGTATATTCACGAGAACGTTTATTATATTTAGGAATCCTCAAAATGCTACGATCACCTGAAGATCGAAAGTTGGAACGCAGAAATCAAAGAGTCCTTTTAAACAACTGGGTGCAGTTTCAGAATGAATTGATTTAAACGCATTCACAAGAGTTTTACATTGAACCTTCCGAACTAGAAGCCAATGGAGTTTCTGTAACTTAGCTGATATATGATCAAATTTTTGTCCTGTAGTTATGAGACGTGCAGCATTGTTTTGCGCTGTTTGTAGTCTGTTTCCCTTATACCGGTAGTGGTGGGTGTCGCGCGTGGTTCGTGTATTGGTTAGGTAGTTAGTGTTGTACTGTCTATTAGGATCATAAAGGATCACCACTATCCATATTTATTTATGATAGGCAAGTAAACTTTAAAATTAATCCATTACTTTCAGTTGTGAACAATGATGAATGTCATGTAGAGTTTAGTTGCTATGGTAACTCTGGTACAGAACACACCTTGACCTGTGATGAAGGTCAAGTTATATCAATAGATGAAAGAAACGAGATACGTAAACTACAGTATGGCATTAAGATCAACCCGTCCTGTCCCTACAGACTAGATACAAACCCATGTAATCGTACATCATGTTCTAGAAACAATGTAACAAATCTAAACGACAGTCGTTTATATAGACTTGAAGTAGATGATGTACAATACCATATGGAGGTTTACAGAAACTGTTCTAATAAACCAAACTGTAGTCTCAGACCACCAATTAACATCTCTAACATAATATATGATTATATTTATTATCCTTATACTTGTATATCAGGTAAGTAAGTTCAATCACTTATCTCAACCTTTTAATTTATCTCAATATATGAACACTAACTGGAAATGTATACATACTGAGCGTCATTGAAGACGCATCACTTAGTTTTTCGTATAACAAAATGATCCTGTAAACATATCTTATTTATTTTGCTTCTAATTGTGAACAATATTCAAATGGGAACACGTCAATAACAACACATTTGTACACTTATGGATGTTTAATCTGTAATCAAGGGTACAAAGTCAGAGGGTTCAAAACCAAAAGTAGGCACAGGTGTCAGTAGCGCGTGTGTCCTCCACGGGCCATCATCACGGTAGACTACATCTTTAACGCGACCCCTGCAAATGTGTAGGGCGGTCCGGTGATGAAATGTGAAGCCTCCCCACACCATTACACTCCCCCCACCCCATCGATTCGTTTCGAAGACGCAGCAGTCTGCAAGACGTTCCCCAAGACGTCACACACACGTTGACGGCCATCAGCGTGATAAAGATGAAAGCGACTCTCATCACTGAAGAGCACGCTTTGCCAGTCTACTCTTCTCCATGTCTGGTGTCCTTGAGCCCATATCAAACGCCGCTGACGGGGATGATCCCTGAGGATAGCTCCAACATAAGGTCGTCGTGCACGGAGTCCTACTTCTCTTAGACGACGTCTTACTGTGTTGGCATTTACTGGTCCTTGTCTTCCGACGACTGCTGCATCTGTTCGGGTCGCTGGGCGGAATCTGTCACGCAGATGAGTGAACCGGATGTAGCGGTCTTGAGCCTGGGTTGTAACGCGTTGTGGACCAGGACGTTGACGGTCACGTGTTGATCCAGTAACTCGAATACGTTCCACCAACCTTACAATAGTGAACTGATGACAATTGAAATGTCTGACAATAGCACGTGTAGACATGCCAGCCCTGGACATTCCCATGGCTTCATTCCGTTGATTTTCAGTAAGTTTCGGCATCTCTAGCTCGATTCCTTCACACTTCCAACAACAAATTACGACAGATTGACGTTTCACAGTTCATGTACCGCACATTAAGTTGAAAACATGCTTTTAAAGGGCTCACACACAATGCTGCACGTGAATATTGGGTTTTTCATGAGCATCTCGTGCAATTTTTTTTTTTTGCACACGGGCCGATATTTTTTGCGTTTTGGAGCATTGTGTGAAACAATAGTTCATAGTATTGCATAATATTATACATGCATAATAAAATATTTGGGGAAAAAAAGTGATGCGTTTTCCATGGCGCTCAATATATAATTAAAGATAAATATTCTCGATCATCTGAATAGAAATAAGCCATCATTTTAGCTTAAATGTAACCAGTTGATTGTGTTCTGTACGGCCTTAAATATACAATCGAAGGAAGCGAGATAAGTTGAAATTGAATTAAAGCTTTTTTTTATGTTTACAGTTTCTTCCATATATAACCTGGCTGAAATAACCAAAACATCTATAAACAGTGGTGACTATTTATATATTTCTGGTAAAACACCATCTTTCACCAAATGTTGTAATATTACCAACCAAGGACGAATTCAGGTAGAATCTATGTTCATTCTTCTGAGTGCCGAATCTAGTAAAAGGGTTCAGATAACATCAGGGACACAAAGTTTGTTCAAATGTGGGATAGAAATTTTCATTGATGGAAGACACTCATCAGTTTTTAGAGGGAATCAGATTAATATTGTTATTGATAATTTACCAGCTGAAGGTGATGATGTCATATGGATAAAGATCAATTCAAGTAAGTCCCGTTTCGCTAAGGGTGATTGGGTAGCCGAATGGTTAACTTGTGCGCCTTTGATGATGAGGTCTGCCATTGAGTCAAGTGGCGTGGTTTTAATTCCCGACTTCTACTTGAAAAGGAGTAGGGTCGCCTGTCCAACCTCATGGGGTTTCTCCAAGTCTTCCGACCCCCCCCCCCACCGCTAAAGACCAGTACGCGCAAGCGAATTATTGAAATAAAATCGAAGCATATGTTTGTCTCAAAATGACCTCTCTCCCGTTTCGATAAATGTCCTTTATAATTCCCATCTGGTCTCTACAAACCCAAACTGCTCAAACTGCATTTGTAAAACTCTTCGTCCTTTTGGTGGATATGTTAATTAAATTATTCGGTATATTGGTTAGGTGGTCCCAATTCACATTTATTCATATTAATTTGCATAATTGAATGAATAATATGGGTTTAACGTCATTATGGCAATTGGACTATTGAAGATGTGATCTACATGATGGTGTAGTCGGGGCATTATTTAAAATCTAGGATCCACTTTCAGAGGAAGAATCATGTCATATGTCGCTAAAGGAGCTAATTATTAAAACGTGTTCAAAATCAATAATGAAATTAATTTCCAATCAGCTGGAGATCTTTAAAGTTTAATTGAAATTGACTAACACGTGTGTAATATAATAAGGAATTAATTTGATGTATTATAGGTTCAACAATAACTTGCGATGACTGCTCTAAACATTTAGGTAAGTTACTTCTGTTTTATAGTTCAATCATTGTACTTTTCTCTATAGATCCTTCTCGGGTTGGGATAGATTACGTTGAATTTTGTATTTATATAATCAGTTGTATTACCATGTTACTTACAGCAGCCTGTCAAACTTTGTGGATCGACTGTATCCATTATATACATAGACTAAAGGATACATCATTTGTAACCATGGTATCCACATTTGGTATCCATATTGAAATATGATAGGAAAGTATACTGTATAATTCATCCATTATTTTCAGTTGTGAACAATGATGAATGTCATGTCGAGTTTGGTTGCTATGGAGAATATGGTACAGAACATACACTGACCTGTGATAAAGGTCAAGTTATAGCAATAGATGAACGAAATGAGATACGTAAAATACATTATGGTACCAAGAACCCGTCCTGTCCCTACAGACTAGATACCAACCCATGTAATCATACACCATGTTCTAGGAACAGTGTAACAAATCTAAACGATCGTTTATATAGACTTGACGTAGATGATGAACAATATCGTATAGAGGTTTACAGAAACTGTTCTAATAAACCAAACTGTAGTCTCAGACCACCAATTAACATCTCTAACATAAGATATGATTATATTAATTATCCTTATACTTGTATATCAGGTAAATAAGTTCAATCACCTTTGGATTTATTTCAATATCTCATAATTGATATTTAGCAAAGAAATCGGAACTAAATGGACACGTTAGTTACACACGCATCACATGAATCTATCCAGAGTTGTAGAAGTTCGCCATAATGAGAGGGACGGGTTGGATGGCCGAATGGTTAGCACGTGTGTGCTGTATCATACGGTCTGTCATTGAGTCAACTGACGGGGTTTCGATTCCCCGGTTGTGCGTGACAAGGAGTAGGGTCGCCTGTCCAACCTTGTGGGTTTTCTCCGGGTCCTCCGGGTCCTCCGGTTTCCTCCCACTGCTAAGATCCCTACGCGCAAGCGAATTATTGAAATAAAATCTCTCTCTCTCTCTCCCTCTCTCTCTCTTTGACAATGCTTGCCATCAGATCGATCCATGTTTGTGTCATCTGTATACCATCATCCGTCATATGGTTTATCCAGCTACACTGTTGCCCCCTGATTCAAATAACCCTAGCTTGAAAATAAATTAATAAAATATACGGCCACATATAAAATATACGGAATGGACGATAACTACCCCAAAATGCTCTATCTCTCTTTTTATTAGATCACACCCAAAGTGTACAATTCTCTATTTTTAAATATTATGGGGTTGTACGATGATATTAATTTTTATCGTTGAAACAACATCATTTGTGGGGACCCCCAGAGTTCTGCTGTTCAATTTAGAAATGTAGAGATACAGGAGCTAATGGGTGTTATCTTTAAAATAATATGTAAATATTTGCCCAATATATGTTAACGAGAACTTTTCCATGAACATATTGTTGTGAATGTGACGTTATCTATGATCAGTTTATATTTTTTAACTTGCAGTTGCCAAATATGATCATTGTCGACCCTAGCCTGGAATCTATGTGGAACAAGGGTCATCTTGTACCAAGCACACATGCCCCATCGTTACTCTGATGCACAATGCGGCTAGCTCCATCGTTACACGGTGTCTACTGAAAGTGTAATGTGAGATGGGGACAGTGGAAGTTGTTGTAGTTTAATGTCTGTTGCTACCCGATTTTGCAAAAGGGTGTCCACTTTAAGCACCATCTGATTGTGGTTAAGGCACACTGATTTGTCGAGTTGTTTGTCTGGGACTAATGTCTTTAAATATATTGCACAAAGACGACATTCCGCTTTATTTAGAGTATCAGAAAGCATAATCCTGATCTGTAGGCTTAATAACTGAAGTTTGAACAGGGACATTAACCAATCAGTTTTCAAATTTGGTCGATTTCTGCTTTCCAACTAATGTTCCAACCCCTCTTACATAAGATTTATAAACATTCCATATTATCTAATTGTTAGTTGCAGCTCCAAGTGTAACTTCCTCTATTCAGTTGGGTTTAATAATTGGTTGTGTTGTTGGTGTTGTGGTCATTCTAGTGGTAGTGGTGGTTATTTATTGTATAATAAGGTATGATTGAATTTACGCACCGTACTTAAAATACATTGTGCTACAGATAACCGTATTATATAATAAGGTATGTACTGTTCATTGTCCGTGACACAAATGCAATTTGTAGGTCAGTATTATAGATAGATAGATTTATTTAGCAGTCACATATACAAAATATGATACAATTGTTTGGGGTTTTTTTCAGAACAAATTTGGAGCACAAGGTTGCAGCCCATTCCCACCCCACCCCCCAATGCCACGTGTCATCTCACCATGTCGCTCATTGGTCCCGCCTCCTCCACACACAAACTTTTATCTCAATAAGAAAAATCCGGGATTAATCCGACTGGACCCCACCCGGGAGATTATCTATCGTTTGTTTCGCAAATAAATGAATACATTGTAATGTGGAAACACCTGTATCAGATTAGTGATCACATGAATTAACAGATAATAACCATATCTACATGTATCTAAAATCTAAATCTATGTAGGGGGTTGGGATGGCCTAGTGGTCTAGAGTGCCGCGCTTCGACCTCTAGCTGGCCGGTCACCTCTGGCTTGCGGCTGTGGTTTCGATCCCTGGTGTGAGCGTATGTGGCTTGGAGAAAGGGGCGCCTTCTCAACCTCGTGGGTTTATTTAGGGTACACCGGGTTCCTCCCACGGGAAAGACCGCTGCGCGTGCGCTAAGATAATAAAAAAAATAAGACTTGTCTGTGATATCACCTTCGGTGGAAGCGGACGTTAAACACTAAGAAGAAGAACAACAACATGAACACCCGAGCAGCTATAATTATATGTTTAGAAATGTCTGTAAAATCTGATAATTATGAAAAGAAGTCGATTTTATTTTTCAGAAAGAGAAAAAATAAGTTGAAATCAACAGATAATACCCAACAGATATATTTTACCCAAGATAAAAACCAGGGAGAACCTGAATATGATACTATACAGGATGGTGATAAAGGTAAACACGAATCAGCTTATCAGGATATCGATGATACTGTCTTACAGAACTCTATAACTAACAGAGAACCAAATTACCAGAACTCTACAACTAACAGAGAACCAAATTACCAGGTCATTGAAGACGACTTTCTTCACAAGGCTAAACCAACATCTGGTTATAGTGAACCCTGGGACACCTGCATTAAGCTAAAACCAATCTTACACTCTGGAAAACAACCACTTGATCCGAAATTTAAATATAGTATGGACAAACCGAAGACAGGCAGAATACAGGGAGAAAATGCATCACCGCACTACGATCACGTCAGAGCCGAGACAACTGTAGATAAACAAACTGAATTAACTCCGTCAGTAACAGATAAAACGTATTATGATCATATTAAAGACGTAGACGAAATCCTGGATTCTGATCCATACAGCGACCCTACCTATAACCATCTCGGTCAAAATAATGTTGCTCCAATTGGTACAAACCACGCACCGCACCAAGTCATAAAGGTGGACCTCAATTCAACATCTAAGAATAAAGATCAGAAAGATAAGGATGATCCGTATAATGACCCGACTTATAACCACCTTGGTCAGAATAACGTTGCTCCAATTGGTACAAACCACACACCGCACCAAGTCATAAAGGTGGACCTCAATTCAACATCTAAGAATAAAGATCAGATAGATAAGGATGATCCATATAATGACCCGACCTATAATCATCTTGGTCAGAATAACGTTGCTCCAATGGTTACAAACAACGCACCACACCAAGCCATAAAGGTGGACCTGAATTCAACATCTAAGAATAAAGACTCTATTGATAAGGATGATCCGTATAATGACCCAGCCTATAACCATCTTGGTCAAAATAACGTTGTGCCAATTGGTACACTCAACGCGCCACAGGTCATCACAGTGGACCCCAATTTAGCATCTATGAATAAAGATCAGATAGATAAGGATGATCCGTATAATGACCTGACCTATAACCACCTTGGTCAGAATAGCGTTGCTCAAATTGATACAAACCACGCACCGCACCAAGTCATAAAGGCGGACCCGAATTCAACATCTAAGAATAAAGATCAGATAGATGAGAATGATCCGTATAATGACCCAACCTATAACCACCTTAACGAAGATAAAACCATCTCTCAGAGAAACCTGAAACTTCCACAAGAGGAGGTAACTCACTTGTCAGTCATCGGTCTTAAATCTGATACTGATAACTACAACCACATAGACGTCAAGAACGATATCTCTGTTTTAGATAAAGAACCCACACCAACAGATGTTACCAATAACCACACGATGTCCAGTGGTGGGAAACCCTTGTCGTCCGATAATTACAATCATCTAGACATCAAGGGAGACAACCATCATACAACAAAACAAGTAAAGAATCCAGCTGGGAAACAAGATAATTACGACCACATAGGTATCAAGAAAGACAACTCTGTTTCTGTTAAGGAACCTAGACCAGAAGGTAATCACACATCTTCCAGTGACTTGTCTCCAGATCATTACAACCATATAGACATCAAGGGAGACAACCATCATATAACAAAACAAGTAAACAATCGGGCTGGCAAACAAGATAACTACGATCATATAGGTATCAAGAAAGACAACTCTGTTTCAGATAAGGATTCAGATGTCACACTAGAAGATGACACCTATAATCACATAACTTCCAAACCCTCGTCTTCAGATAATTACTATCATATAGACCTCAAGGGGGATAACCCTGATACCACTAAGGAAGCAGAGAATCCAGCCGGAAGCAAGGTGGATAAAGATAATATTACAAAACCTAAAGAGCAGTCATGCTCTAAGCAGGATGCTACTACTAACAATTACGATCACATTGAATTATAGATTTAATTAACTGAATCAATGATATATATGCTACCCGAATCTCGAAGTTTCCAAATTAACACATTTATTAATCTTTGATATGTATAATCCAGATTAAACTATAGATTTAGAAAATTAATCAGACATTTTAGCTAAAATGTTGAATTTATATAGGGAATAGTAAATATATTTTTATATCAGAAAACATAAAAAATCAGTCACCAAGGACAGTTTTTATTTCAGAGTGTCTGTAGTTAGTTATTTTGCCACGTTATTAACCTGGGACTAGATCTGGCTAATTATAAAATGCATGTATAATATTTTTGTGTCCCTATAAAGGAACGTAATTTTGTAATTTTGTGTAGATTTTGTATTTTTCATTTCCTTTTATTTTTGTTGTTTTGATATTTTATGTATATATATTTTAGATTATATTTGTTTACTGTGTATTAATGTTATATGTTATAACAGATATGTTATAAATAACAGTTTTGCTACTGTGTATATTTTATAATAGATATGTTATAATATATATGTTATAATAGATATATTATAAATAATATTATATGATATAAATAACACTGTGTATTAATGATATATGTTATAATAGATATGTTATAAATAACAGTTTTGTTACTGTGTATTAATGATATATGTTATAAATTATACTGAGTATTAATAGTATATGTTATAATATATATGTTATAAATAATTGGTTCAGTGAATAAGACGCTGGCTCGTTAGAATAATAATAGGGAGGGGAGGGGGGGTCAATGACTAAGGCTGTGGCTCCCTAACCTGGAGGTCCTTGTATTGATTACTGCATTGGATTTAAAAAAAAAAGAATCTTTTCTTGAAAAAGCAGATAAAGTCTGAGTCCGTGGTGGGTGTGAGTGTTGATATAACAATTAGTGACTGATCTTAACGCCCACTTCCACGGATGATGATATCGCACTCTTTACCCATATCCTTGTAAATTAGAGAAGAAAACGTATTGTACATGACTAGTACCACTCAGTTTATTTTCTTTATGACACGATCACATCTCGAGTTTAATGACAAGTGGCTTCAAGCTGTGACGGGTGTCGTTTATGAGAGGGCAATGCACCTGTCCATTACCTGACATGTGCTATGACGTCGTTATCCGATGTGCTGTGCATTATTGGCACTGTTTAGCCGATCTTCAATAGTTCGGTAGCACTTTAAACCCCATTTATACAGTTATTGGATAACTCAGAGGAGTGGCATGCAATCTGGTTAAAACACAAATCCTATTTCGTTTCGTTTTTTATAGTTCAAAATTTCGTTTTACTTGTCTTTACTACACTAGGATATGGAATAGTTGTTATATGACAGGCCTTCTAGATAATATGAGGAATTAGCCAATGAAACGGTCTGTTACGGCGACGTCTTGGCGTGCCATGCACGGAACTGTGGGTAAACCAATAGAAACGGCAACGCTGATTGATTAATCAATGTCTGACGTCATAGGGTTAAAGGCCGCTCGTACGACCCCTGGCACGACCTTCGAGTACAACTTGCCAGATCTTCGTGGAGTGTAGGCCATCGACAGTATAAAAAAAAACGACAAAAAATATAGGTCTGTATTATAATCAGATTGGGTGGCATGGGGTTATTCACCGTAAGGAAGTAAAAAGGTAACCTGTATTCATGCTTTACATCGAATGCAGACTTTAGATTCAACAATACAAACACATAACATGTTGTGTACAAATCAGATTTATTTATATAGTTTCCAATGTCATTACCAAAACAATTTGTCCGTCGTTGTGATTTTATATGAAATAGCTTCTTTCTTTTATCAATTTTAGCCTATAGATCTATGTCACTAAGGACGGGTAGATTATGGATGCCAATATTGTACTGTTCCTTCTATTGAAGATGGAAACTCTCTTTCAAAAATAATATTGAAGATAAATTATGTAACATTTAGATTCAGAGCTCACCGTGCTTGCTATAATAGTTCAGAAATAGAAAAAAATAGATATATTGAAAATTACTTGATCCTGAGTGAAGATATGAGTGCTTGAAGTTTTCACACTATAGCCCCCATTGTCAAGCAACATTGTCTCGGTTATTCCGTTTTACATTAAATTATTAAATAATGATTGTGCTTTAATCGATACAAAATAACGGTCACTCGATGATCTAGAGAGTTGTTTAATTCCTTAATAATTTATATAACCTTTGAATACACAAATAAGCATATTTCGCTCGTACATAAAGTTTACAACCAAGTAGATATATCAATATACTATCTCAAAATCAAGGGAGATAATTCACCACACCGGCAACCGAAGATAGATAATTATACATGATAAATAATAAGACGTGAAATAAATGTTTTGTACAATACATATACGATTATATAAACCTCCAACGAATCAATGTACGTGTACTATATACCGACCTGGGGCCTGATTCAAGAAAACCTTTTTTTAAAGAATGCAGGCTTTTCATTGGCTAAGAGTTGAAATGTGTGCTACGATTTTAAAACTGAACCAATGAAAAGGCTTCATCTATTTTCGTGAATATTATTCGTGGATTCTGCTAGGTTCACGACTTTCTAGGGCAAATGTTTTCTTTCTCATTGACGTTATACATTAGACAAACTCTTTCAAAACATATTACTAAAAATATTTATCAAAGATCCTTAAAAATAATACAGTGGTGAGACGATAAAAATAATAATAAATATCAGTACCGTTATAAAATAAAATAATACACAATGTACCCAAAATACCCGGAATACAATAATACGTGCATACAACTAAACAGTGGAATTAATGCAACTGAATGCACTTTTACAAAAATACCATTTTAATTCCATTTATTTTTTAAATTTTGTTTATATGACATAAGATTAAATACCGTATTAATTTCATTTATTTTTAAATTTTGTTTATATGGCCTAAGATTAAATGGCCAGAAAGTTCACAACAAATCTTAGAAGTGAAAAATGTTTGGATAGACTGATGAAAATAAATTGCTATTTGTTTACCCCAAGCACTTTACGATAATTGTCAAACTTCATTTGGTCATAATTCAATTTTAAAATGGCCATTTTAAAATTTAACATCAATCAAATTAAAAAAAATTAATCTGACAAATTTAAATAATTTTCAGATCAATAACTTGTATATTTCCGTTATTATATTCTCCTCTTCACCTTTTAAAGGATTACAGTATTTACAAATCAACCTCCTGGTCTATTTTAGTTGTGTACCAGACATCAGCTTTTGTATTTTCAATTTGAAAACCTCCACTTAAGCTGCGATTAGAATTTAGGCTACAACAAAAAAAAACATAATATACATTGTAGCTAAGTAGGTAAGACGCTGGCTCACTAGCCTCGAGGTCGGGTGTTCGATTCCTGCATTGGCCGGGAAAGTTCATCCAGATTTTCTTTCGTGGTTCCACCTGGTCAGTGATGCAGGACGGAGGGCCTGACAAGGACAGTTGCCTAGTCCTTCGGATGGAACGAACACTTGAGGTCCCGTGTGCACATTGACATGCACGTAAAAGACATCTTGACAGTTGGAATTCGATATAAGAATAGGCCGTAGTGCCGCAAAATTTCCCTCATAGCACACTGTATGGCGTATGCCCGTCTTCATTAGCCTAGGACATTAAACCCTATTTCATTTTATTTCAGGAAACAGACATCAATCTAGCAGTGGTACGTACATTGGGCTCTGTATTCAGAATTTATATGACTACAAGAATAAGAAATATATTTTTATTCGGGATATCTCAATTGGATTGGGGAACAGACTTAGCCTATACAAAACCCTTCTCTCTGAGGTATGTATACCACTGGACGAATGACATATAGCAAAAGAATTTACGTACCATGATAATCGCCACATCAATAGCTTTCACTTTTCTTTGATCCGTGAGTTGCGGGTTGATGGCGGTGCAGTAATAATTACCGGTCTGGTCTGCCCTGGCCATCAGCCAGATGAGTTCACCATTCCGAGTTGGGAGAGGATCGCTGATGGGGCTTGTCCTGTACCAGTTGATGAGACAAGTTGGATAGCACTCTGCCCAACAGTTGATAGAAATGTTATTATTCGCCACGATAGTCAACTGATCTATGTCCCCGTCCATGGCCATCACGTCGCTAAACAGGGTAAAACGTACTTCAGTTGGACCGTCTGAAATCAAAGAATCGTATTACAAGAATAAGAGAGAGAGAGAGAGAGAGAGAGAGAGAGAGAAGAGAGAGAGAGAGATCATTTCACCGCCAAAAGACCCCTACGCGCAAGCGAAGTATTGAAATAAATTTGACCCATATATTAGTCCCGAAATGACCTAGTTTGTGTCGTGAGAGAGAGAGAGAGAGAGGGGTGTGACGTCCCCTCGACCCAAACTAGGTCATTTCGGGACTAACTAATATGGTTCAATTTTATTTCAATAATTGGCGTGCGCGTACGGGTCTGTAGCAGTGGGAGGACACCGGAGGACCTGGAGGACCCGGAGGAAACCCACGATGTTGGACAGGAGACCCTTCTCCTTGTCACGTATAACCAGCGAATCGAAACCACGTCACTCTTTAACCTTTCGACCATCCAACCCCACAAAAAACAAACGCTCGAGAAGTTTATGATTTGAGGAGCCACGGTGGCTATGTGGGTAAGATGCTGACTTGCTAGCCTGGAGATAGATATTCATTTCATAATTTAAATGATTTCACAATACACGAGTTCTACGATCGAATATTTGAATACCCGGGTCGAACACTAGTACAATGTCTTCGGTGGGTGTTCCCAAACGGTACCGGTTTTGTCTATGATAAATGATTAACAATTCTGAATAGGAAGTAACAGACTTACAGACAACATTTATGAAAACTGATTTGGTGGCAGGGGTGGTACTGATTTCAGGATTTATAGCCATACAGAAATATTCTCCACTCTGATTCCGTTGTATCGGTGACAGTACGAGTCTACTATTGTTAGACAACGCGTCACTGTAGACGTTTTCCTTATTAGTTTTGTGCCAGTGGATCATACAATCCGGTACACAATCAGTAACACAGTTTACAATCACCTCCTCCCCATCTCTAGCATCAATAACCATCTGGTCATTTACAATTTGTTGGTTATTGGTAGTGTTTAGCATCAGCTCGGTAGGTCCATCTAAATTACAACGATAAATACATCAAATATATACTAAATTAGACTTTTATATTAAAAAATTAGACTTTTATATTAAAAAAATTAGACTTTTATATTAAAAAATTAGACTTTTATATTAAAAAATTAGACTTTTATATTAAATTAGACTTTTATATTAAATTAGACTTTTATATTAAAATAATTGGACTTTTATATTAAAATAATTAGACTTTTATACTAAAAAGTTAGACTTTTATACTTTTATATTAAAATAATTAGACTTTTATATTAAAATAGTTAGATTTTTATATTAAAAAATTAGACAATAAATAAAAACACACAAGACACAATTCTATAGAATACACAATCTGATTAAAATACAGATCTATATTTCGTTTCTTTTTTTTATAAACTTTCGATGGCCTACACTACATGAACATGTGACCGGTTGTAGTGATAGGTCGCGACAGAGGTCATACGAGCGGTAATAACCTTATGACGTCAGACATTGATTAATCAATTAGCGTTAACGTTTCTAGAGGTTTACCCACAGTTCCGCGCAGGGCACTCCAAGAACTCGCCGTAACAGACCGTTTCATTGGCTAATTCCTCGCATCATTAGGAACCCGGGTTAAATAACAACTCATCCAGATCCTAGTGTAGTGAAGACAAGTAAAACGAAATTTTGAACTATAAAACAACGAAACGAAATAAGATCTGTGTTTCAATCAGATTGCTACTAACATATTTGAGTGACGTTTCAAAGATGTTTAAAGAAGGTTATCGAGCTATGTGCCCTGGAATTCGGAGACAATCCTGCATATTTTAGCATCTATGGCGTCATATGTGGATTGTGGATTAGGGTTAGGATAAAACCGCTTCAGACTTTGAAATCTTTGTATGATAAAACATTCTTCAAAGGCGTCGTCATGGGCAACGCAGTTGGTAATCCGGGAACTTGAAAGTAGTTTCAATGGCGGACTTCGTCATAAAGCCGAGGGTAGGGTACTGGAATCTGCTGAGGTTTGCCGAGTGTAAAATCTCTAAACGTTATTTGGGGTATAATTTATGGACTTCTTACGCATAACAATATTGTGAAATTGGAATCTTTTAACGGAAAACCAGTCAAAGAATTTTATACCTCAGTATTTAGATAAAATATGGGGAATGTATCAAAATTCGGCATCTGTCCCTTTCTAGGCCGACTGAATCAAAGTCGGGGATTATCTAGAGTTAATATTTTTTTCTTAAGTGAATGTTGGCTAATCAATTTTAGTACATATTTAGCATGGATTAAGCAGTGGGAAAACTGGCTATTTTGGGAATAAAGCAAATAACGCACTTTAACATTAATAAAGTATCGCAGGTTGAAATAACTTACACTTCCATCCCCAACCCTCAACCTCGCCCCTACCGTGACGTAATACGGGTGTGTTGAATATTGAAACAAAGGAACCATTAAGACTTACATTTACATATAACAGACGCATCGTTGGCATGGGTACAGTTATGTCTCCTCCAACCACTGTGTGTACACTCGCTGATTGATGCTTCACCGCCTTCACAAGCGACGTCACTCAACCAGATGGGACCTTGACCTTGTCCAAAAAACGCCCCCATTTTAGGTTCAGCGCCAATCCTTAAAATATAAAGAAAAACAATATTGATGTTAGTGGTGATGCTGAGAGAGAGAGTGGGTGAGAGAGAGATGGAGAGGGAGGGAGGCTTAATGTCCACAAACTAGATCATTTCAGGACTATTTCGGGATTACCATATGGGACAATGTCATTTGTTCCCTCCCACCGCTAAAAGACCCCTACACGCAAGCGAATTATTGAAATAAAATTGATCCAGATATAAGTCCCGAAATGACCTAGTTTGTGTCGAGTGGGCGTTATGTTCCTGTGTGATGTATTGGTTGTTATAGATATAATAGCTTTTAATATGTATTCCTGCATTGTTACAATGAAGAAGTCAAATTATTAGGTCCTTTGATACTATGCTACAATACTAACCTGCTGAAACCACGTCCATTACACACCACTTCAGCATCTATGGTACTCCACATGTTATCACAGATTGTACCCCATTCATTGTTGAAAAAAACCTCTACACGACCTTCATGTGGTCCAGAACCACCTACTAGACGGTATTCAACAGCTAGAACAGTAAAATAAATTTGGGTTTAACATCCGTCCTATTTTGCTTCAACAAGGTCAATGAAAGGGGGAGGGGGACATGTCCAACTACACGTGATCGCATTCCAATTGCTACGGTTTCGTTTACATGCAAGCCAGCACGGGATCTGGGTTTGTTGCTCTATCCGATCTAGTAGATGCTATGATGCTGACCTTGCTGGGGTTTAAAATCCTATTTTGCATCAACAAGGCCAATGAAACGGGGGCATGTCCAACTATTCCAATTGCTAAGGATTCGTTTACATGCAAGCCAACATGGGATCTGGGTTTGTTGCTCTATCCGAACTACTAGATGATGTTATGCTATCCTTGCCACCAGTTCGGTTCGAGACCTGTATTTTTCCCCTCAGTCTGAAAGACTAGTTGTTGCTCTTACCAGGTTCCCCGTCTTTGCCAGGGGTTGATTTACGTTCAAGCAAAGGTGTACAAGCGACCCGGTTTAGTTTTTTAATCCATCCGTGAGGGCCCTGCCTCGCCCCCACCCACGCCCTCGTCCTTGTCAGACTAGCTCCATACTCACCGTGCTTCAAATTACAACTTGAGTATCTTACTCAAAACTTAGATCATAAGTAAAATAGATGAATGAAACGTTTGGTCCCGTTGCATAATTCCCGTTGTTTTATGGCATCTGTAGAAATGGAGCATTGGCAAGTCCAGGAGGTAGTCCCCCCCAAACAATTTTTGAATTTCGGCATACCTTATAGAGGGAAGGGGAGCTAGCACCCGACCCTCACCCGCCAACCGTACGCGAGCAATTTTTGAGCCTGGAATTTGGCCAAACATTTTAAATATTACATTAATTATTCTGCAATACTTACGTTTACAAACAACGGCAGCATCCTCATGATGACCACAATTATGTACACCCCATTTACTGTGTTGACATTCGGCTATACTCGGTTCCATACCAGTACATACAATATCATCCAGCCAGATCCTACCAGTTCCGTTACCGAAAAACGCCTTAGTCGTAGTCCTTAAAAACAAGTTATAATGGTGTAGGTACGGTGTGCTTTAAGTCATGGGGTGGGAGGGGGTCACAGTGGTTAAGTGGGTAAGTTGCTGGATCACTATCCTGGAGGTCGGGTGTTCGATCCCTGCATTGACTGAGACAGTTCACGCTGATTTTCCGGTGTGGTTCTCCTCTTGTCAGTGATGCAGGACGGAGGGTCTGACAAGAACAACTGTCTAGTCGTTCGGATGGTACGAAAAACCGAGGTCCTCTGTACATATTTGCGTGCACGTAAAAGATCCCCTGACAGTTAGAATTCGATAAAAATAGGCCATAGTGCCGCAGTCCGGGCACAATTTCCCTCATAACACACTGTATGGTGTATGTCCATCTCATTAGGCCAGTTCGGGGCAGAACAGTAGGACGTTAAATCCCATTTCATTTCATTTCATTTCGCTTTAAGTCATGAATTCCGTCATACCCAATATATTGAAACCTATACTATGATCCACACGGGATTGACGAATATTACAATACAAATTTAAATGGCGGTTAACATCCTACTGTTCTGTCCCGGCTGGGTTCATGAGAACCGTATTACAATACCCCAAGACTGTCACGAATTAACTAGTTACTAGAAGTACAGTAAAATGGTGAAATGAAATGAAATGGAGTTTAACGTCCTACTGTTCTGCTTCGAACTCGGCTAATGAAGACGGGCATACGCCATACAGTTTGCTATGAGGGACATTTTCCCGGACAGCGGCACTACGGCCTACACTAATATCGAATTCCAACTCTCACGGGATCTTTAACACGGGACCTCGGTTTTTCGTCCCATCCCAACGATTAGACAGCTGCATCACTGACAAGGGAGAACCACGTAGGAAAATCTGGATGAACTTTATCGGCCAATGCAGGGATCGAACACCCGAGCTCCAGGCTAGCGAGCAAGCGTCTTACCTACTTTGTCACAGTAAAATGGTGTATACAGTGAAGGTAAACTCGGACCTTCGTGAGACATAGTCTCGGTCACCCAGAACCTCCTATTCTTTAACGTACGGAGGGTCCGGGACCGTTGTCAATATTTGACAAAAAGTTCCATTGCTCAGGCGTAACCGGGAGTTTGTTTGTTTATGTTGTTAATTATCCAGTATTGTTGGTCAAGTCAAGTAAGAGTTGCGCCCCTTCCAGCAATATATCCCATAACTCTTGCATTTATATAAACAATCATGAATCATGAATTTGGATTAATTTTAAAAAAAAACATAAATATGGCTCATGAAGAGAAAAATTTTACAATAAAAAAAAAATAAGAGTGTTGGATACTGAAATGGCAATGCTATCAAATGGATTTTCTGAAATGGCATTCTTAAATTAATTGCATGGGCGTGAACATCTTGTTTCGGGACTAGTTACCTCGATTAGACTTTATGATAATGTAAAAGACTGGATAATCTAGCCAATGACCTATTATTCTCTCAAATGTGGACAAAGCATCTAGACTAATATTCGAAGAATATTTTTCTGGGTGAAAGAGACTAATTGAGACATTGGAGGAAAATGGAATCATTCTCCAAAATTAACACAAGAATAGGACGGCCTCCAAGCAACAACCTAGACAGTTGATAAATGGCTACTATCCCGAGGCGCACCCTGTATTATACAATTTTCATTGACTGAACAGACTTTGATGGTGGGAAGGGGGTGGTGGTGATTGCCGAATGGTTAGCACGCGCGTGCTGTATCATAACGTCTGTCATTGAGTCAACTGGCGTGGTTTCGATTCCCCAAGAAGTAGGGTTGCCTTTCCAATCTCGTGGGTTTTATCCGGCTGCTCCGGTTACCTCCCACTGCTAAAGAAGCTACGCGCAAGCGAATTATTGAAATATAATTGAACCATATGTTAGTCCCGAAATGACCTGGCTTGTGTCGAGTGGACGTTAAACCCCCTCTCTCTCTCCCTCTCTCTCTCTCTCGTCGGTTAATAACAGTGTAATATAACTCACGGGTTGTATCCCAGACTGCTGCAGACGACCCTCATTTCCTCTGGACTCCACCCATCATCACACAGGGTCCCCCATTGATTATCGTGGAAGACTTCAACCCGACCTTCATAAGGTACATTACTGCCCACTAGTCTGTATGATGCAGCTAGAAAAGTTTAAACAAAAAATAAACCAGGTCCCGAGTTCAAAAATCATTCTGAGACTTAAGTTAAGAATTTACTCAAAATCGTTCGTCTTATTGTAACTAAAATATAGCCCTTTATAAAACTTTTGTTGTTTTAATAGATCAAATACATCAATAAGAAACTATGTGCAAAGTTTTGTGTTTCTGGATCAAAGATATTTCTCATAAACAGTGATTGAAAGTTGAGTAAATTTTTAACTTAAGATTTTTTTTGCTTTGTGAACTCGGGGCCAGACTGTGTATTAGCTATACAAGTTCAAACAGAAAAATGGAACAGGCTTCGAAGATCGATCATGTATCAGCTATAAAAGTTCGAACAAAAAAATGAAACAGGCCTAGAAGGTCGGGCGTTTTGTTATGTAGTTGGAAGAAAAGAGACTGCAGAAGATTATACGCGTTACGGCCATTCAAAATAAATTTATACGGCTTTGTTCTAAGTGCCAGGTTACAATCCCTTTTGTAATAACAACCCCTATTGTAACATCAACCCCTATTGTAATAACACCCGCTATTGTAATAACAACGCCTATTGTAATAACAACCCCTATTGTTTAAATAAAAACCTATTATTATAACAGCCCCTACTGTAATAATAACCCCTATTGTAATAATAACCATAGTGTAATAACAACCCCTATTGTAATAACAGCCACTATTGTTTAAATAAAAACCTATTATTATAACAGCCCCTATTGTAATAACAACCCCTATTATAATAACAACCCTATTGTAATAACATCCACTAGTGTAATAACAGCCACTATTGTAATAAAAATAATAATTGTAATAACATTTATCTTAACTCCTATTGTAATACTGGCCCCTAGTGTAATAATTGTAATTGGTGTATTTTGCCTTACAATCAATTCGAGATCTAATCTTAAAAGTCTAATTTTACTTTTCGGCACCGACTGGGATAACAGAGCCATACAGCGCCACTTATGGCCTTCTGTTATATCGAATTTCAACAGCCAAGGGATCTTAAACGTGCAAGCCAGTGTATATACACGGGATCTCGGCTTTTCATACCATCCGAACGATTATACGTTGTCGTTTGTCGGGCCATGTCCAGATCCACTGACAAGGGGAGGGAGGGGGCATGTCAAAAAACACCGGGACCTCCGGATTATCGAGCCAACTTCTTGATCACTGAGTCACCGTCACCTCCCATTAAAATAAAAGTATTATAAAAAAAAGTAAACATGTTTGGAGAATATCATAATATAGACTTACGTTGACATACAACGGAGACATCTTCGTTGTGACTACAGTTATTTCTGCCCCATCCATGATGTATACACTTGTCTAACGCAGGCTCTGTTCCAACGCAAGCCACGTGATCTAACCAAACAGTACCGGTTCCCCTGCCGTAGAAAGCACCTGGTATCGCGTTTGCTCGTAATCTGAAATATAAAAATGTAATGAGGTTTAACGTCCTACTTTTCTGCACCGATTGTGATAATGAAGATATGTTATACCGCGGTGTGATGTGAAGGGATTTTTGTCTGGAGAGCGGCGCTACGGACTACTTAAATTTCGAATTCCACTTGTCAGTGGATGTATTCTTGAGGAACACATGATTGTGATTGCTGGGTCTCGGGACGTGCGCCACCGTCAATTCCAGATAAACGCTCTCAGTCAGGTGAATGCCAAGATGAACCCCGAGACCTTTTGGACTCTGATAACACCAAGATGAAACCCGAGACCTTTTGGACTCTGATAACACCAAGATGAAACCCGAGACCTTTTGGACTCTGATAACACCAAGATGAAACCCGAGACCTTTTGGACTCTGATAACACCAAGATGAAACCCGAGACCTTTTGGACTCTGATAACACCAAGATGAAACCCGAGACCTTTTGGACTCTGATAACACCAAGATGAAACCCGAGACCTTTTAGACTCTGATAACACCAAGCCACCGTGGCTGAGGACATGAATAAACCAAGTCCCGAGTTCACAAATCATTCTCAGACTTAAGTTGAGAATTTACTCAAACTTGTCCACCTTATTTTAACTAAAATATAGCCCTTTATAAAACTTTTGTTGTTTTAATGTATCAAATACACTAACAAGAAACTATGTGCAAAGTTTTGAATTCATGGATCAAAGATATTTTTCATAAACAGTGAGTGAAAGTTGAGTAAATTCTTAACTGAAGTCTGAGAATGATTTGTGCACTTGGGGTCAGGTTTATTTACTTACGGGCTTAATCCTAACTGTCTACAGACTACGCTCGCCTCCTCTGGTCCAAACATATGATCACAAACTGTACCCCATTGGTTGTCAAAGAAGACCTCTAGTCTCCCTGCATGGTAGCCAGGTCCATTTACTAGACGGTAAGAAATATCTGCAATAAAATATTACTTTCATTAGTTGTGTTTTGTAAATCACACGCAATTGCGAATCCGGCATGTAAACTACAAAATATATTAGGGTTCAAATATCCGACACAAATCGTCATGACTTCCCGATTTTTGCAACCACAGCCCCCTCCCCACTTTAACCAATTACATATCCAGAGTCACACTGATAAGGATGACATTGATGCGGCTTAATGAGCCACAAATATTAACTTTTTTCCTCTGAGAAATAAAATTCTAAAACATTATGTATTAGATAAATAAATAAAGACATTTGACGTTTTTGTAGGTAAAATTATTTCCTATTTAGTGTACGTGGGTATTAAATTGAGTAAAAGGCTCCATTCCGCCCGAACCAGTAAGGTCTTATGTAAACAATGCGCGTGTCATTGAGCCAATGATTGACGCAGCGTGATGAGAAGTCGCGTTTTGAAGGTAGTCATCTTTTACAGAGAAGACTTTTCGTAATCCTCTGTGAAATAGATTGATCCAGGGTGAGCCACTGGTCATATGTGTACTCATGTTATTGTGACGTGTACGCAAACCAAGAATTGGCCAATGCCTATTAACAGCGGATTGTAAACATGTGACGCGATATGCCAGGTAGGTGTTTATGTTCTCCTATTTATTTCAGTTGTTTTATTTGAAACGTGTGTCTCGTTTGCCCCTACCCTGTTGAATTTGTATTTCAAAGGTAGCCTTTCAACTTTCAATTAGTAAAAAGGCATTTGCTCCTGTACTATTGAATTTGTATTTCAAAGGTAGCTTCCAGGATTTTACGGCCACTCGACGCAAACTAAGTCATTTTGGGACTAATATATCGTTCAAAAATTCCCCTTCGCGTAGAGGATTTTAGCACGTGCTAACTATTTGACCATCCAACCCCCCTGGAACATGGGAAATTTGCTAAGGCCTATCCAATGTCATCTGTCAGGCGATCACAGGGTCTGTCAAAGAGTCAAGGGACCTTGGCCTCAACAAACCACAAATGAAAGCCAGGAGCTGGAAAATTTCCACGGGACATGAGTAAAATGTCAAACAAACCTTTGCAAACAACAGCGACATCTTCCCTATGATTGCAGTTATGTACACCCCATCCATCATGTCGACATTCGGCCAACGAATTTTCTGAACCAGCACACATAATATTATTTAACCAAATAGGTCCAGTACCTCCGTAAACATGACCGGCCTTGGTGTTAGATCTAAAATTATAATCAAATATAAGTTTAATTTTAGAAAATCTCACGAATACTGGTGTCAGCCATTACCACATATGTGATAGAACTGGTTAAACGCGTTCCAAATATAATTTTAACACGGAGATCATTGCTACGATAGATGCCTTATGACGATTTCAAGAAAGGGAAGTGACGAACGTAATAGGAAAACAACCAACTGAAGTGACGAGTGATAACAGATACACGGGTGAATTTCTACTCACTAATAATTTCTTAGAAGACCAAAAGTTGTTATATGAGACTGTGGGAGGATATCTGACAATTCAAAATAATAATTGACTATCACTAGATTATAATCCGTACATTTTCTTGTTTTTATTCATTCTATACTTAATAAAACATGGTAATGCACCGACTTTTTTCCTCGTTTTCCCATATCTAGTAACATTCAAGTACTTTTTTGAATTATCAGATATCCTCTCACAGCCTCACATAACAACTTTTGGTCCTCGAAGGAATAATTAGTGAGCAGAAATTCGTCCGTGTATCTGTTATCACTCGTCACTTCAGTCAGTTATATAGAAGGATAACTCGTGTTTTCCGCTTGCGTTCACCGCTTCCCTTTCTCGAAATCTTAATAACGCAACTATCATAGCAATGATTCGTGTTTTAAAATCATATTTGGTTCTATGACATATGTGGTAATGACTGACACCAATATTGTCCTTTAATATGTGGTAATGACTGACACCAATATTGTGCTTTAATATGTGGTAATGACTGACACCAATATTGTCCTTTAATACGTTTCTATTATGGGTTTACTTGTTTATAATTTTGTTCATTATTAAAACTTTCTCTATTTTATTGGGTCAGAAAATGAAATAAAATGAAATGGGGTTTAACGTCCCACTGGTCTGCTCCTACGGAAGGTAGTGTGCTATGTGGAACATTTTGCCCGGACAGCGGCGCTATGGCCTACTCTTGTATCAAATTTCAACGCCTAAGTAGGTCAGATTTGAACAATTTTAATTAAGTATATGCCACCTCTTGCTCTGATCTTGAGAGCGTGGGATTAGGTGTGTGTGCATGGGGGTGGAGGTGGGGGCTCATAGGTGGATTAACCTAGAGTCTTACTTCGTCTAAACCCGAAACTGAACATAGGTAGAATAGCCCCGGACCGCTATAAACCAGACACTAACATAGGTAGAATAGCCCAGGACCTCTATAAACTAGACACTAACATAGGTAGAATAGTACTGAATAATTTAAATAATACGTACGGATTGAAACCTAGACTCCTACAGACGACTGATTCCTCTTCTTTTCCCCAGCCGTCATCACAAATGGTTCCCCAAGTGCTGTTGTATTTTATTTCTACTCGTCCTTCAAACTTCGATTTTCCGCCAACCAAGCGAAACTCTGTCATTGCTGCATAAATAGTAAGCAATGGATTAACAGCAAATGGAATAAGATTTAACGTCAGACAGTTCTGCGCGGGACTGGGCTAACGAAGATGGGCATATGTCATGAAGTGTGCTGCAGGGGCAGTTGGGGAGGGGGGTCGACCCCCCCCCCCCCCCGCTCAGCTACATAATTTTGTTTGTAAATCAGTACTTTTTATGAGAAAAGTTTCTCGGCCGAGTGCTTTATCTTTTATCGTCAGATGTGGGACAGCATGGGCACTCAAAGCAGGAGATGATGATATAGACATTATGTGATATCACAATTAATGCTTTGCATCCATGAAATTGAATGACAAAGTCATTGTATTAATTCATAATAAAAATTGACATCAAACGAGGTGTTGAATTTCTCTGTTTAAAAAGCTCAATGTGTATGTATATACGCCAAAATGACCATAGGGACCATGCGGGGGGGGGGGATACACTGTCTCAGGAACCTGGCAAACCTCCTCCTGCAAAACTTCCTGGATCCGCCCCTGCTGCCGAGGTGGAAATTTTGCCCGGACAGAGGCGGTACGACCTGCTCTTATTTCTAATTTCAAGCCTTTAATCAGCTCTCTAGATCATCGGACGACCAAGATTTAAATGCATTGAAACACGGTCACCATTTAATAACTTCATTTGAAACTGGTTAATCGAGATTTCTCGAGTATCAAGTACCGCTGCAATCGGATTAAAACACAGATACTATTTCGTTTTGTTTTTGATAGTTCAAAATTTCGTTTTACTTGTTTTCACTACACTAGAATCTGGAAGAGTTGTTATATTACCGGCATTTTGGTTGAAGTGAGTGATCAGCCAATGAAACAGTCTGTTACGTCGACTTCTTGGCGTGCCATGCACGGAACCACAAGAAACGTCAACGCTGATTGATTAATCAATGTCTGACATCATAGGGTCAAAAGCAGCTCGTACGACGCCTTTCAAGACCTTCCAAGACAACTGGTCAGATCTTCGTGCAGTGCAGGCCATCGAAAGTATAAAAAACGAAACGAAATATAGATCTGTATTTTAATCAGATTGGGTACCGCTACTGTGTTGATAATAAACAATAAATGCCTACATCTTGGTTAAAAAAAAAATACAAACACCGATAACTTTGCTCAGAATAGAGTATTTTAAACTATTATAACAAGAACGGCAGAATCAGTATCAAGGTCTTGACAATAATGTAGCTATACAACCTTTCACCATGAGCCGTAACCAAATAGTTTATGAAGGCGCTGTCATTATTTCATGTGGATTGTGGATGGAACCTCTAAGTTATATTGACCATTGACCGTGGATTTAACGATAAATTAGGTAAAGAGCTGACAGTTCTGACTATAATAGTTAAAAGCCAAATAATTTAAAGGGGATTTGCTGAAAATGTCAGTCAAATTGCTCCACTCTGAACCGAGATATTAACAATTGAATTTTAGGTCTAGCCTCGATCAGCATTACTAAAGTCGGTACGATAAAAACATAGTCTCGATTATTCATTTTTGGATTTAATCATCAATGAGCGTTGAGCAGCAGATCGCATTCAAATTCTGTAAAAATCCAACGCAAAAGATGGCATCTAGAGTTGATTAGGGTTTTTCCATGTTACTAAATGTTTAATTAATAGTTTATAAAACATTTCAGGCCTAAAGAAAGACCTGCAAGAGGCGGATTTAGCTCTTGTATGTTTAAAAGAGAGACAGATAAATGAGGTTTAACATCCACTCGACACAAACCAGGCCATTTCGGGACTAACATATGGTTTAATTTTATTTCAATAATTCTCTTGTGCGTAGGGGTCTTTAGCAGTGAAGGGAAACAGAAGGACTCGGAGAAAACCCACGAGGTTGGACAGGCGACCCTACTCCTTGGGACGTACAACCGGGGATTCGAAACCATGCCAGTTGACTCAATGACAGGCCTTATGATACAGCGAGCACGTGCTAACTATTCGGCTATTCAAACCCTCTCTTGCATGTTTAAATAAACGCAATCTGATTAAAATACAGATCTATATCTCGTTTCGTTTTTTATACTTTCGATGGCCTACACTACATGAAGATCGGACAAGTTGTTTTGTGGGGTCGCGTCAGAGGTGATATGAGCGGCTTTTAAACAGCGTTTAGAAATGACCATTGGACATAATGTAGCACTATATAAGACCATAAGGCCTGTCATTGAGTCAACTGGCGGGGTTTCGAATCCCCGGTTGTACGTGACAAGGGGTAGGGTCGTCTGTCCAACCTCGTGGGTTTTCTCCGGGTCCTCCGGTTTCCTCCCACTTCTAGAGACCCCTACGCGCAAGCGAATTATTGAAATAAAATTAAACCATATGTTAGTCCCGAAATGACCTAGTTTGTGTCGACTGGACGTTAAACCCCATCTCTCTCTCTCCCTCTCTCTCTCTCTCTCTCTCTCTCTCTCTCTTTCCCCTCTCTCGCTATATAAGACAATTATTATTATTATAAAAAAAAAACGAACAGAAGGATCCGGATGATAAACCTACCGCTTGTTAATTTTTTTGAGATGGATTGCAGGATTAATACAAAGTTTATCCATCTTCCGGTGTGGCTCGTGAACAACATTTTAGGACAGGTGGACAACTAGTCAAAAGGTAATTATGGGTTGGACTTTACGTATACTGTCTTTTAAATAAAAGATTTCAAAACTTTAATGGACAATGAACGAGTTTTTACGCGAATACAAATAATCAACACGATAAATCATGTGATGGGCGGGGCGTATTCTTGTCTATTAAATCTATTAACGACCATACGTTTTCCAAAATTATACTTTAATACGTTACAAAAAAAAATCAATTTAACTTATGATGGATTAATTGTTTAAATTATAGGATATTTATGCATTCTGACATCACACAAATTACTTAATGGGCGGGCTTATTTATGATTGTCGCGTCTGTTAATTGGATAAACAGCAACAGAGATATATAATTTAATAGGTAACATAAAATAATTAATTTTATCTTATGATGGATTCATTGGTTAAATTATATAAGAGTTTATAAAACATTAGTGACATTAAGTGTAGTTAGTAATCGTCCAGACACGATTTATGATTGTCGCGTCTGTTATTTGGATAAACAGCAACAGAGATATATAATTTAATAGGTAACAAAAAATAAATAATTTTATCTTATGATGGATTCATTGGTTAAATTATATAAGAGTTTATAAAACATTAGTGACATTAAGTGTAGTTAGTAATCGTCCAGACACGATTCAACACAATGTACGTCATGTAATAAATGTTAATAAATACACTGTTTTGTTCTTTAAATATTTATAATATCACGAGTAGAACCAAAATTTTTAAAGGCGACATCCTGTTAGAGATGATAAAATGAAATATGGTTTAACGTTCGAATTTTTTTCAACCATTATTCTTTTAGGAGAATACTAATGAGCAATCTGGTTAAAACACAGATCCAATTTCGTTTCGTTTTTATAGTTCAAAATTTCGTTTTACTTGTCTTTACTACACTTGGACCTGGAAGAGTTATTATTTAACTCGTGTTCTGAATGGTGTCAGGGATAAGCCAATGAAACGGTCTGTTACTGCGAGCTTTAGGCGTGTTTTGCACGGAACTGTGGGTAATCCACTAGTAACATCAATGCTGATTGGTTAATCAAATGTCTGACGTCATAGGGTCATAAGTCGGTCTTTTGACCCTGACGTGACCTATTGCTATAACTTGTCAGATCTTCATGTAGTGTAGGCCATCGAAAGTATAAAAAAACAAAACGAAATATAGATCTGTACTTTATAATCAGATTGGCTAATGATTACATTGCTGGACCTGGGTTTATTTAGGTTCCAGACTCTTTGTCTCGCACAACTGACAAGTGGACACAAGGCTGCCAATCCCTAGGAACATCGGGATCGAACCTTCCTAGTGAGCCAACTCCTTACCTCCATGATCCACCATGGTCCCCTAGCTACATACTGATCGGGATCGAACCTTTTTAGCGAACCAGTTCCTTACCACCATGATCCACAATGGTCCCCTAGCTACCTAGTGATCGGAATCGAACCTTTTTAGAGAATCAGTTCCTTACCACCATGATCCACCATGGTCCCGTAGCTACCTAGTGATCGGGATCGAACCTTTTTAGCGAGCCAGCTCCTTACTACCATGATCCACCATGGTCCCCTAGCTACCTACTGATCGGGATCGAACATTTTTAGCGAGCCAGCTCCTTACTACCATGATCTCCTAGCTACCTACTGATACTTTCAATATATTATTCATTTCGTAATATATATTTTTTAAAAATTATTTTAAAATTGGCACACAAATCAAGTACCAGAATGCTTTCTAGCGCCATTTTTAATGAAGCGACTCGATGAACGAGGCTAAACATATCCCATACGAGAATACTACCGATGTAAATTGGAATAACCAGACGCCAAAGACTGCCATTGAATTTGGACTCTTCGCGTATTTCGCCGAACATAGCAGATTAGAAATAACAGTAAAAACAGAAACGATTGAATGTAAATCAGTTTATATATAGATATATTCATATTATTTGCGTTGCGACCCATTTGTGTCCATTTTAGGTGCCAATGAATAGACATTTAACCCATTGGTTAAAGATACATTATGTAAGATTTAGATAAAGAGCTGGCCATTCTTGCTATAATAGTTCGAAAATAGATAATGTAAAATGAATAATTTGAATATTTCATTCAAATTACTATATTGCGAGCGAAGATATTAGCCTTTGAATGTTAGCCAAGACGTGTGCAATAATTTCAACCAACTTACTGGTTGTTCGAAGCTATGTGTCGCTCCTCCATTTTTAAATTAAATAAAAAATATTGCTGAACCGTTCTAATCTATTTAAATCGTAGAAATCCGATCCCATCGAGAGTTGATTATGGCCTGGATCAATTAATTAATATCTAATTAATAATTTAGATAACACTTTAGGCCTAAAGAAAGACCAGCACTAGGCAGATTTAGCTCTTGCATAATGTATGTTTTATTAAGAAGGTGAATCGATATCAAACGGAGAGTAGCGTGAACCTTAGACGATCATTGGTCGATTTTAATAATTTTTAGATCAATGGGAATTTTTGTAAAATTACTTATTATGGTGAAGTGAAATGGGGTTTAACGTCCTACTGTTCTGCTATAACTGGGCTAATGAAGACGGACATACGTCATACAGTGTGCTATGAGGGAATTTTGCCCGAACAGCGGCGCTATGTCCTACTCTCACTTTTTATTGTCTATGTAACTTTGTCGCCCCCCCCCCCCCTGCAAATAAAATCGACCATAAAAAAATAGATATACATTCTCAGCACCCCTGAGAACACCCTCCGCTCCCCTTGTTGCTCTGCGCTAGTTACGGCCCTGCTTTGTCACCGAATCTGGATAATTAGTATTTAGTAATTACTTTACCTGGAACAACGTTTTTGCAGCCATCACATGTTATATCCATTAATCCTGAATCTGGAAAAAACAAATATCAATATATTTAAATTACAATATTTTACAGCCTTACTTAACAAAACTCGACTACGTTCACTGGTAAGCTGATATGGAAGACCAAACAGCTCTATATTCAGTATTCTTAATTCTTAATGTTTTTTGGGAAATGTTATTGAAGAAATGTTTTTGGAGAAATGTTTTTGGAAAAATATTTTTGGAAAAATATTTTTGGAGAAATGTTTTTGGAGAAATGTTTTGCAAGATTTGTATTTGGAGATTTGTATTTATAAATTTATTGTTCGAGATTTGCTTTCCGCTGTATGTCTATGATGAAATGTAAATTATTTCTTGATTTACTAAAATACTTTTTATCTTTATAATTATTAAAATAAAATTAAATTAAACCAATATACATTTTACAAATCTGATATGACAAATGTCTGATTTGTAAAACAAATATTGATTTGTAAAACAAATATTGATTTGTAAAACAAATATTGATTTGTAAAACAAATATTGATTTTTAAGATACAAATGTCAATTTTAGTGTACAAATTTCGAAATACGACAACACCTGAAGAAATAAGAATTAAGAACTATGAATTAAGAAATAACGTCTAAGAACACTGAATAAAGAGCTGTTTGGTCTCCCATCAGCTGATACCGTTGACTATTGGAGCTAAGTCATTTAGTCATAACAGGTTTTTTTTCCATTAAATCATATAAGTGGTCAGTATTCTAAACTAATGTTTATGATGTATAGAAAGTGGTTAGACATTATAAAGTTGTCATTAATTAGCAGGTGTGTAACTAGCTGTAAGAGATGTCACTAATGGTGTAAAAGTGTGACTATTTATAACACCCATCACTATTGAATACACAAACCCAGGACAATAGTAGTGTATATCATGCATAGTCACGGTTTTAACACCTTAGTGACAAAACACAATATGACAACTGCCTAGGGGCTGTTTCACGAAATTTTATCTTAAGATAAAATCCAAATTTTAGTAGATACTACAATTTTGATTGGCTAAGCACTAACATCAATCTAATATTATCCAATTAAATTACTAAAATTCGGATTTTATCTTTGTTAACAATTTTAACTAACTAATACTTTTTATGTATATAAACTGACGACTTTGATCTATTAGTGTCGTATATTTTCATTTATAACAGTTATTTGTTGCTTAGTCAACCACGTCAACGTTACAGTGGTCGTAGCGTATGGCCTATGTACATTTTTTTAATCCACACATGTTGGGCGGAAGGTTTGGAGTTTAATCGTTTAAAGCGCGCGTTTTAGATCTTAAAAAAGTTTGCTATTGGGTAAACGGGCACGAAATATGGTCTCTGTCGAAATACGGTATATGTCGAAGGTTCGTATAGTTTATTTATATCAATACGGTATATGTCGACGGTCTCTATAGTTTATTTATATCAATACGGTATATGTCGGAGGTCTGTATAATTTATTTATGTTAATACGGTATATTCAATGTTGAAGGTTATACTTTATTAATGTTTTATGATAACTTGGTGGGCTAAAACGAATTTTACAACTATATGTATGTCAACGCGTCTCGCGTCACACAAACATATAGGGTGGCTAAATTATGGTTGGCACAGATAGAGGGCGGGGGCAGTCTTACTTGTGATTGCTACAGATGGGGTGGGGGCTGTATTACTTAAGATTGCTACAGATGAGGAAGGAAAGGGGGCAGTTTGAATTCTGGTTGTTACAGATGGAGGAGTGGAGCAGTTTTATTTATGATTGCTAAGGACGGGGGGTGGGGTGCCGGGGGGGAATGCGGGGGGGGGGGGGGGGGGTGAGTGGGGCAGAGGCAGGGACAGTTTTACTTATGACTGCTACAGATGGGGGGGGGGGAGGCAATTTCAATTATGGTTGGTACGGATGGGGGGGGTGGGGGGTAACTATGGTTGGTGCACATGAGGAGGGCGGTGCCGTTTTAATTGTGATTGGTACAGATACGGGTGTTTATGTTTGTGCGGTGGGGGGGGCAGTGTTAATTATTGTTGGTACAGAAATAGTTATTGTTCAGATGAAAATATTCCCCAGCTTACCCACGTGAAAATAAAGCCATACTATATCGTCAGGTAAAAGTGATGCTGACTGTATGCTGAATTTGATGTTGTTGCCGGTAATATCAAGGTACTGAAAGAACACCACTTTTCCTTGGTCGGTACAGTTGAACAGAATCTTATTCCCTGAAGATATTTTAACCTTTCGACAAGACCCTCCATTTAAATTGACATATAAACTGGCGATACGGATCTGAGATGTACTGGTAACGTCGCAGGCACATGATAGACCCGGTTCTGGCATTTGCTCACCAGAGACATAAAGGAGAAACTCTTTGGTGGTTGTCAAGTTCGTGATGTTTTTGATGTTAAAGTTGGTAGCGGCTGTAATAAAATAAAAGCTGAGAATTAAACCTGAAATACGTGATCAAACTATGACATCTGTCAGATGGGAACACAAAGGGTGGAATTGACGATATTTAGTTGTGATTTATTGGCTTGTCGCATCATGTACGTATATCATGTGCAATAAACGTCTATAAAGCAATGTGAACTGTAAAAAAATACAATCCCAAATATACACGAAAACGTGTTAAAATGGAAGAGAAATGACACAAAGGCCACTCAGCACAAACTAGGCCATTTCGGGGCTAACATATGGTTTCATTTTATTTCTATAATTCGCTTGCGCGTAGGGGTCTTTAGCAGTGGAAGGAAACCGGAGGACCCGGAGAAAACCCACGAGGTTGGACAGGCGACCCTACTCCTTGTCACGTACAACCGGGGATTCGAAAGCACGCCAGTTGACTCAATGACAGACCTTATGATACCATTCGGCCCTCCTCCATTAATATTGGAATTTGATGCCCATTTTCAATATTTGTTAAGCGAATGCCATTTTTGACATTTAATAATTTCAGATCTGCAGTATCTGGAGCTAGGCCTTTGGTATAGTAGGACGTTAAACCCCATTTCATTTCATTTCATTTCAGGTCTTTAGTATGATCGACGTCCAAAATGAATCTAAAAGCTAAATTGTGGTGACGCTGGGATTACTCTAAACTTGTCTTATTACATTTATCCCATACGGGGTGAAAGATGGGACTACCACATGATGGAATTTTATTTCCATAATTCGCTTGCGTGTAGCGGTCTTTAATGTTTGTATGAAAACCACGAGGTTGGACAGGCGACCCTACGCCTTGCAACATACAACCGGGGATTCAACAGACCTTATGATATAGCGCGCACGTGCTAACCATTAGGCCATCCAACCCCCTTGTCTCATATGAGCGAACAGTATCTAGGTATTGGTGTAAACTATACTGTGTAAAACCGCTAGTTTAAAGATACATTCCCGCGTACACAATTTGTGATTTGATGATATATTTGGACTAAAAACATATTCAACATAACCAATTTGCTTCAATTCCCTCTCAAAACTTTGTATTCGCCGGGGATACCTATAGCTATAAGTAAGCTGTTGTTAGACGCAATGTCTGTCAACTTAGCTTCGTTGTGGGAGGGTCCATTTTCAGAATGTACGTATTATTACTTACTGTACATTTACCATACATATTGAGGCCTAAGTAAATTCTTAATCATTTATGTCAGCTTCTTTTTCCAGCGTTTATTTGCAGAGTCTTTTGTACGTTGACACCCCGCAATGTTCCCAAAACCGTCTAACCATTTGATCGAGAAATAACAACCGCTCCCTCACTTAAGCAGACACACAATAAGCTGGCTGATAACAGTCGGGTTGCCAGTTAGTGATACCCTGATAATTTTGGCCAGTTCTTGAACCATGGGCGTTTTTCGGGTAATTCAGTATTTTGCTGGTAAGAATGAGTGTCTATACTTTCTATATATACCAAATTTGACATATGTTTTATTGGAAATAACCACCCGATAAATACTTTTCTGGGAAAGTATCTTTAAGGGTATTAATTTTCGGATAGCAATAGCTAGAAAAATGTTATTTCTGGATTGTAGGCATATTCGTGGAGGCATTTACTATTGTATTGTGAAATGGATAAAAAGTAACTACTTACATGGAATGCAGCCGTACCAGTAATACACGTAGCTGTAATCAGCTCCAGGCGTATACGGCGATGTTATCGTACATGTTCGTTCGTTGGAACATTGATTATTAACAAATTTACGATCCGCTGTGCTGGCATCAACAAACGGTTCCATGTCCATAGTGCTATTTTCAAACCGACAGCACGGTTGCGTTGCGCATCGGTTGACATCTATTCGTGGGCAGTTCAATGTACTCTTCTTTTTCCCATAAGCTATTTTATAGAACGCGATAACTTTACCCACGGGACAGACTAATTTATGCTGCGTACATGGTGATCCAGGTGATCCATAGCAACCGTATGCTTCCTCACTCTGTGTAATTTGTACTGTAAAAAAAATAAAACTGTGAGATATCAGAGAGAGAGAGAGAGAGAGAGAGAGAGAGAGATAGAAAGAGAGAGAGAGAGGGAGAGAGAGAGAGAGAGATAGAGAGAGAGAGATGGAGAGAGAGAGAGAGAGAGAGAGAGAGAGATAGAGAGAGAGGGATAATGTCCACTCGACATAAATTAGGTCATTTCGGGACTAACACATGACTCAATTTTATTTCAATAATTCGCTTGCGCGTAGAGGTCTTCAGCAGGCGACCTTCTCCTTGTCACCTACAACCGAGGAATCGAAACGACACCAGTTGACTCAATGACAGACCTTGTGATACAGCGCGCAGACACTAACCATTCGGCCATCCACCCCCTGAACGAACGAAATGGAAGATGCTAATACCACTTTAATGAATGAATGAAATGGAATTTTCTATGGCACGTCAGCTCCAAATGGGTAATGTTCCGACAAACACATAGTGAACATATCGAGATAAATTAAACAAAATCACAGAGGTGTATTTATTTTTATCACCCAATAATACATTCTACAGAAAATATTGCTTGTGTGATAAACTTCATAATCGACAGATCCTCGGATTGTTTTTACTTTATCGACTTGATATTTTTTGATATGAAAAAAGGCTCGTAGGTGATTCTCTATATACACATAAACAAAAACAAGCATCACAGATAACAAACAACAATAAAACAAGCATCACAGATAACAAACAACAATAAAACAAGCATCACAGATAACAAACAACAATAAAACAAATCAAGAGCACAGGGGAAGAACGATCTAAGTCACTTTTTCAAAGAACCCCAGATAATGGCGCCATCTGGTAGCAAATTGTATAATCTTTCTGTGGAACAATCAATTTCAGGTAAAAATGATTGGAGTCACATCGAACCAAGTCAGTCTGGAATGGCTTCCCGGACAAATGCGACCATCGTACTCTTTATTTGACCTTAATGTGGCTAAAAAGTGGATGTCAGTTGTTGTACTGGTAATCATGATTTGTATTAAACATCGTTTTGAAGTTTTAATTAAAGAGAGAGAGAGAAATGGGGTTTAACGTCCACTCGACACAAACTAGGTCATTTCGGGACTAACATATGGTTTAATTTTATTTCAATAATTCACTTGCGCGTAGGGGTCTTTAGCAGTGGGAGGAAACCGGAGGACCCGGAGAAAACCTACGAGGTTGGACAGGCGACCCTACTCCTTTTCACGTACAACCGGGGAATCGACACCACGCCAGTTGACTTTAATTAAACCCACTCGTTGTTCTGTTCGCGTCAAGCATTCTCGTCCAAAATTTTGTTTTGCCTTTTATGCGAAAAGACAAAAATGTGACTTAGATCGTTCTTCCCCTGGACTCTTCAAATATTAAATATCCATTACGTATAAAAATATGTTAAAACGTAACAAATATGATGATATATAACATATAATTCAAATTGAGAATAAAAAGTTGTCTCGTTTTTTGAAATTAACATTTTATTATGTAGCCCGAGTTGGAACAACATATCCATGTATAAGAATATTTAAAATGTAACAAATATAATATGCAATTAAAATTTAGAATAAAAATTTGTCTCGTTTTTAAATATTAACATTTTATAATGTAGCCCGAGTTGGAGCAACATATTTACGTATAAAAATATTTAAAATGTAACAAATATAATATACAATTAAAATTTAGAATAAAAATTTGTCTCGTTTTTAAATATTAACATTATATAATGTAGCCCGAGTTGGAGCAACATATTTACGTATAGGAATATTTTAAATGTAACAAATATAATAGGCTATGCAAGTCAAATTTAGAATAAAAATTTGTCTCGTTTTTAAACATTAACATTTTATAATGTAGCCTGAGTTGGAACAACATATTTACGTATAAGAATATTTAACATGTAACAAATATGAACACAATATACAGTGAAAATTTAGTCCCGGTTAGGCGAACAGAGAGAGGGAAATTTGGTTTAACGTCACCTTGACACAAATTAGGTCATTTCGGGACTAATACGTGGGTCAATTTTATTTAATTAATTCGCTTGCGCGTAGGGGTCTTTAGCAGTTGGAGAAAACCCACGAGGTTGAACAGGCGACCCTATTTCTTGTAATTTACAACCGGGGAGTCGAAACCACGCCAGATGATTCAATGACAGACCTGTGATACAACGCGCACGCATTAACCATTCAGCCATCCTCCCCCTCGGATGAGCGAACAGAATTTGTGATTACTGACAAAGCTTAAAATTGGATTTTGAATCTACGAGATGCTTCCACGCAATCAAAATGTGCTTTACTGTCAACGAATGATGTACATGGCAAGGAGTAAGATCGCCTGTCCAACCTCGTGGGTTTTCTGTGGGTCCCCCGGTTTTCTTCCACGGCTAAAGACCCCTACGTGGAAGAGAATTATTGAAATTAAATTCAACCATATGTTAGTCCCAAAATGACCCAATTTGTGTCGAGTAGACGTTAACCCCCCCCCCCCTCTCTCTCTCTCTCTCTCTCAAAGAATGAACACATCCCATTAAACCGAGACGGAACTGAGCAAGAAACCAATCATATCGGGGAGCATTCTTTCTGCAAGTGTGTGGGGTTTTGTGTTACTTATTTGAAGAACTACATTGTATGAAAAAAAATCTAAGATACTTACCGAAATTAAGGAAAACAGTTAGGGCGAAAATAGCTTTGAAAATACACAGAGTAGCAGCCATATCCAGATAATGTTTGTCTCTAAGACTAAACGTTTCAAGCTAACACGCTTCACTTCACAGACTAACAAGCATGTCTTCACCCCAGACAACCGAACTACTAGACGGTTTATGTTTTCTCTTGCTGTGAACATTATTAGCGAGATTTTATTGCATGTTGTGTCACTTTGTGACATGAATTATTGTGCTATGAAATTTGCATAAGTTTAAGCCTTCAACCGTTAAAGTTATATCGATATGGTATTATACTGGCAGGTCGTGAGCCCTAGCCCTGCCCTTCATGTCAGCGTGTAACTGTGTTTGACATTTTTCATCACCTTATAAGGATATTTATATACGATCAGCCTTTGATCTCCACATTTATATAAAGAACAGAGCGCGAAAAACCCGACATTATATTTGAGACTGACCGTTTGAATATATGGTATTACCCGATGAGACGAAAAACCGAGGTTCCATGTACACACTGGCGTGCACGTAAAAGAACACCTGGCAGTTGGAATTTGATATAAGAGTAGGCCTTAGTGTCCCTCTCCAGTCAAATTTCACCTCATAGTACACCGTATGGTGTAAGCCCGTCTTCATTAGCCCAGTCGGGGCAGAACAGTAGGACGTTAACCCCCCGATTTCATTTCATTTCATTCCAGTCTTCATTAGCCCAGTCCGTGCAGAACAGTAGGACGGTCAACCCCGACTTATATCATGTTTTCAGAGGAACAGAACGTTCAGTCCCAAATTGTATCATATTTTCAGAGGAACAGATCGTTGAACCCCAAAACCCCGACTTATATCATGTTTTAATTTTATTTCAATAATTCGTTTGCGCGTAGGGGTCTTTAGCAGTGGGAGGAAACCGGAGGACCCGGATAAAACCCACGAGGTTGGACAGGCGACCCTACTCCTTGTCACGTTCAACCGCGGATTCGAAACCACGCCAGTTGACTCAATGAGAGGCTTTATGATACAGCGCGCACGTGCTAACCATTCGGCCATCCAACCCACCGACAAAAGAAGAATAGAACCATTAGACGATCAAACTAGGTCATTCCCAGACTAATACATGGTTCAATTTTATTTTAATAATTCGCTTGCGCGTAGGGGATCTTTAGCAGTGGAAGGAAACCGGAGGACCCGGAGAAAACCCACGAGGTTGGACAGGCGACCCTACTCCTTGTCACGTACAACCGGGGATTCGAAACCACTCCAGTCGACTCAATGTGTTTTAAGAGGAACATATTGTCTCTGTCTGAGTACCGTAATGATTAAGAAGGAACTCTGCAAGGATATATTGCCCCCTTTCTTTTCACATTGATTTGAAATTAGGTCATTTCGGGATTAACGTATAATACAATTTCATTTCAATAATTAGGATCCGGAGGCAGTCCACTCCTAGTTTAACGTCCACTCGACAAGAGCTAGGTCATTTCGGGACAAACATATTGTTTAATTTTATTTGTCACGTACCATGGGGAATTGAAACCACGCTACTTGACTCAATGACAGACCTGCTGGTTCAACGAGCACGCATTTTCTCCAAATCCATCGGTTGACTCATGTTTTACCTTAATTTTACGTCCCATCTGTAGGATTAGACAGCAATTGTCTTGTTACCCCGCCTTTGATTGGTGTGAACCCGGTGCGTTATATCTAAAGTGCTCGTTCCGAACCATTCAAATGGGGCAGCGGCGCCATACTTCGACTGTCGGCAGCTCATGAATCATACTTTTTAAAATTGACTAATTTGTAGATCCATATTTAGATCTAAATAAATATTTTGGGTTTTTTTTAATCTATGTGTTGCTGATACAATGGTATTCTAGGTAAAGTTTGTCGTTAAATTTAATTGTCGAACACAGAAAAAAAAACGTGTATGTATCCTCGAGGCATTGCAGTATAGAAATAGTACATTTAGAGGCCTTTTTATCATTTTTATAGGAGCATAAATCATAGATACAAAAACAATTGCGCATGACCCATATAATGATTGACACATAGCACCGATCATACCGACATTTTGATTGGCAACCCTCTGACGTCAAACAAATAATGTTAATATTTTGTTTTCTGATTTAAATTGTAAATCAAATACCTTAAGGCCATCCATCCTATCTTAACGATTCAAATATAATTCTGAGTGCTGATTTATTAGGGGATTATAATAGAAAATTCACATTCATGAAGTGAATATCCTGGTACATTTTGGATATTTTGCTTTGGGCTAAAGAAGAGAGAGAGAGGGAGAGAGAGAGAGAGAGAGAGAGAGAGAGAGAGAGAAATAGGGCTTACCGTCCACTCGACACAAACCAGGTCATTTCGGGACTAACATATGGTTTAATTTTATTTCAATAATTCGCTTGCGCGTAGGGGTCTTTAGCAGTGGGAGGAAACCGGAGGACCCGAAGAAAACCCACGAGGTTGGACAGGCAACCCTACTCCTAGTCACGTACAACCGGGGGAATCTAAGCTACGCCAGTTGACTCAATGACAGACCTTATTATACAGCGCACACGTGCTTACCATTCGGCCATCCAAACCCCCAGTCAGTTTGTGAAATTTTCATCAAGTTGAGAGAGAGAGGGAGAGAGAGGGAGGGTTTAACGTCCACTCAACACCAATTATTTCATTTCGGGACTAGCACAGGAGGACCCGGAGAAAACCCACGAGGTTGGACAGGCGACCCTACTCCTTGTCACGTACAACCGGGGATTCGAAACCACCCCAGTCGACTCAATGTGTTTTAAGAGGATTATATTGTCTCTGTCTGAGTACCGTAATGATTTAGAAGGAACTCTGCAAGGATATATTGCCACCTTAATGATACAGCGCGCACGTGTTAACCATTCGGCCACCCAACCCCCCGGCAAAAGAAGAATAGAACCATTAGACGATCAAACACCACACTGGAAAATTCCTTGAAATTTTCTATGCCAACACCAGGATGGCATGGTTAACCTACATTCTGCACACTGAGATTCATCTACTTCATACTTCGAGAATAATTCTCTGTCCTGAATGGCCGCCATATTGTTTTGTAATGTGGTTCTGCTCCGTTTCACATCTGGCACACACACACAAAGACTAAATAAACCTATCCAGTTCCATTAAATGGAAGCAGAATAAATACTTCTCAATATTTTCGACTAAAATCGTCGATTTAGGACTTAAAATGTCGGTCAACTAGCTTAGTGTCTGTTCTCGAGCGGAGCTAACTGTAGACAGACAGCCTAAGTTTAGTATGGGATGACCTACTGGTTAGCGAATCAGTACATTACGCACCCGGGAGATGCTAATTGTAATTTCGGGAATCTCCGGAGTGCATAATGGCCGATTTATATAAATGAGTATTTTCGGGAATACTAACCCTAACCCTAACCATTTTTAAAGGAGTAAAAGGTAAATTGGAACCATTATCACGCCAATAGAAAAGACCAAATACGACTTTGAAACTACAGAAGAAATTAACACGTTTAGGCTAACAAAAGAAATAATTCTGTATGGACAAATTGAAAACAACAGTCCCCTAGGTTTGCATATGCATACGGCTAGCGCAATAGCGCCCTTTGTAGTTCCATTTAGCGCAATAGCAGCAAGTGCATCCAAAATCATCAGAAAACACTATACTGATCTCCAAGAAAATCACCCGATTCACTCAGAAATTTAGAATTGCATATTCTAAAAATAAAAATCTGAGCGACATCCTAGTGCACAGTAAATTAGACTAAATATACTATTCAAAAAAAGTAGGGGATATTTGATTTTTAAGTGTTATTAAAGTCACCTAATGAAACTGACGAAGAAACAAATGACAAAATGAAATGAAGTTCACATTCATCGATTTATTCCAAATGATCGTTAGACTAAGTAAGGCACAGACTGACCATTATAAGGGTAAAATGATACCCGGGGTCAAACAGCAAACGGCACAACATGGACTGCCAAGATGTTGTCCCGGTAGTACTGGCCTGTAACACGCCCTGCAACAACATGTAAAGCCGTTCTTCCAGCAACAGTGATGCCTCCCCACACCATAACAGAACCACCCCCAAATCGATCATGTCTGATGACGTTAACGTCTTGGAAGCGCTCGTTTCGACGACGCCACACCCTCCTACGTCTGTCCAAAAAATCAACAGTGAACCTTGACTCATCTGAAAACATCACATTGCCCCAGCGTCGATTATCCCAGTGTTGACGATCCCTACACCAACGACGTCTTGCCTGAATGTGATGATCTCTCAAACAAGGGATCACGCGAGGACGTCGGGCGCGAAGGTGACCCCTATGCAGTCGATTCCGAATCGTCTGGCCACTCACTCTCACACCAGTGTCTGTTTGAAGACGAGCGCTGATCTGATTTGCTATGATGACATGTTTTCTCAAGGCCAAGGTACGGATAAATCGATCCTGGGCTTGAGTTGTCGCCCTTGGTCGACCTGAGCGTGGTCTGTCCTGTACAGTTTGTGTATCACGGTATCTGGACCATAGCCTGCTTATGACAGACTGAGAAACATTCATCGTCCGCGCCACAACCGCCTGTGTTGTGCCGATCTGTAGCATGCCAAGGGCACGTAACCTTTCATTTTGGGTAAGCCGACGCATATCAAAATTTGTTTTCCACCCTGGAATTCAATGCCACAATGACTGTAACATTCACAGTCAGAGTCGTGCAAATCTTGGGTTGGACCCCCATGATGATCCCAAGCATCACCTGCATTACATGCGGTAGCTATTGGTGCGTTTGGGCGTCACATGTAACTGGAAATGTTTCTTCTGTTAGGTTCTATAGTGACTTTTTTCGTAGTCATTTGCATATTTTAGTATTATGCCCCCAAAATCAAATATCCCCTACTTTTTTTGAATAGTATAATACCAGTCCCCACCCTAACCCAAAGCAAATAATATATCAAACCCTAGCCCTAACTCTTAGTAAATAAAATCAGCTAGTTATAAGAATCCCTAGCCCTAACCCCGGGATAGTGAAAAAATCCTTATGTGGTTCTCACCTCGAGAGCCTCAAATTTATTTATTTTTTCTTAAGAAACCAAAATACCATAATACCATGACCACAAGCACCATCCAAGGAAGACCATCAGCGCCACCAACAC